AAACAAGCAGGCAAGCATACATACATACATGCATGCATACAAATAATGGATAAGCTTCCAAATAACCATACAATGGAAATAATCATTATACCTATTCATTAATCTGACATTTTTGTGTTCTATCCCAATATCTATTGGGATTGCTATTACTACTTCTACTACTACAGCTACTACTACTACAACAACTGCTACTACTATTACTACTACTACTAATAATAATAATAATAATAACAACAACAACAATAATAAAAAAACACAATTAAATCAACATGAAAGGCACTGTAACTGACATAACATAACATCATCAGTTCTAACAGACAAACAACAACAGCAACAACGATAATAACAAAATAATAATAATAACAACAACAAACCAACAATAAAATGGAAAGAAATGTTTAGTATAATTTGTATGTATGTACAACTAAAATTTTTTTGGCTGTTTGAACATGGCAAACAAAAGTAGGCATATTAATAATACAAATACACACACAAATACACACAGACAGAGATGAGAGAGAGAGAGAGAAAAATTTAATTTTTAAACAAGCAAATAATTAAAATCCAAACAAGTAGGGGCACCATTTGGAGCCAATTAGAAATAATTACTGATTACCTAACTAACTATGCTAACCAAATATTATACTTTACTATATATTATCGCATACATACATACATACAAACAAACAAACAAACAAACAAACATACATACATACAAAGACATACATTTATAACATACTGACAAGCAGTCTTTCTACCTAAACATTTGAATTTGACTTACTTTAAAATGTACAATTTTTTAGAACAATAAATACAAAGGATTTGAGAGAGAGAGAAAGAGAAAACAAGGTGGAGTTGGAATGAATGAAGAACATATGAATGAATACAGCACAGAAACTTGCTGGATCAAATTTGATAAGTACATGTTTTAGACAATAACCAACAAGTTGCCTGGCACACACACACACACCACACACATACATATGTACACACTTGCAAACACATACACACGCACACACACACCAACATGTATACAAGTATATTATTATGCAGACATTTTACTTGTTAGGCAATTGATGAATCTAGACTAAAGTACTGTTTATGCTAATGCACATTAAATCAGACACACACATACACACACTTATATATATATATATATATATATATATATATATATATATGCGCGCACACACACACACAAACAACTAAAAAATTATATCTTGAAACTTTCTCTCTCTCTCTCTCACACACACACACACACGCACACACACAAATAAACACACACGCGCACGCACACAAACACCAACATAACAATACATAACAAACTAAACTATGCCCTATATACAACACAATATATGTGAGTATAGTTACAATTTTTACTGCTAATATTCATTGCAACATGGGAGGGTTAATAAAAATCACAACAAAAACAATAATAATGAAAATAATAAAAACAACAACAACAACAACAACAAAGTCAAGATGAGCATTTTCTTAACTAATGAAAGAACAAAGAGATAGCAATCTGTAAACAACAACAACAACAACAGAAGCAGCATAAACAAAAACAACCAATTGTAAACAAACACAAGATCAAAAGAGGATCATCATCAAGATGTTATCACCATCATCATCATCACCACCTCTAGCATCAGCATCATCATCATCACCTCTAGTATCAGCATCTACATATCCATCACTATCATCATCACCACGACCACCACCACCACCACCGGAAAAAACATCATCATCATCTTATTCATATTCATCATCATCATCTCATCATCATCATTATCATTATTAACACCACCAACCTCATCCTCATCATCATCATTTTGAATAACTGGAAAGCCACTTCACATCAAAGCAACACAGATTAAGAATATCAACTACACAGACCTCATAAACATACACACATACAAACATACACACATACATAAATACAGACAAACATACAGACAAACACACATACATACATACACACAAACACACATACATACATACACACATACACACAAACACACATACATACACACATACATACAAATAACAAAAAAACACATTTAAAAAACCACTCACCCACATATATATCCTTAATTAAAAAACACATTAACTTAAATTAAACTGGCTTAAACAAAAGCCTATATATACATATATAAATACATTTAGTTAGATGTATGTTTGTGTGTATGTATGTTTGTATGTATTTAGATTTGGAAATGATAATTTTACATCATATATATTATGAAACATTTATAACATAATACATATCAATGACAATATACATATGTGTTAAAAATTATGCCATGTATATTACTATATTATATTTATATTACCATTTATGACAGAAATTTTTTAAATTCACAATAACATTAAAATTAAATAAATTATTCAATCAACAAAAAACTCTTTCAATTTAAATTAAATTTTTGCCAAAATTCTATTTTAATTAAGAATTACTATTTAAAAATTAAAAAAAGGGAGGGAAAGAAGTGCAATTTAATTTAAAAATTTTAAATGCAACAAAAATGGAAACAAACCTTTCACTAATTCTAATTTGACGAAAATTCCGCAAAAATGAAAACTCTTTTTTTAATTGTCAGATTTATTAATAATATTATTAATTAATAATTATTTCTTGATTGAATTTTTGAGAAAAAAATTGAGAAACTAATAAAGTAATAAACGATAAAATAAATTAATTAAATTAAAAATAAATTGAATGATATTACTATAATAAATAACATAATACTACTATAATTACCATTAAAATTAAATTAAAATTTAAATTAAAATTTAATTTAATTGTAAAATATCTCGTAACAAGAAATTCATATGTACCGCCATTATCACGTTTATATTTACAACCACAAAGAATGTATACAAAGAATAAATGACAGCAATCAATATTTCACGGTTCATGGAAAACCGATGTCGTTTTCTAAATAATTATTGCAGATAATTTAGATACGCGCATAGTATGAATAAATGACATTGAAATAAAATATATGCATATATCTTTCATTGAACTACTCACTGGTAAAAAAAAATTAAACGAAAATGTCGAATTTCAGTAGTTACCTGTAAATTCAATCCACACATCCTGATAATAGGGGTACACTCCTGTCTTGTTACGTATGTATCCATCATAAATTTCTTGAACACCTAAGTATCTATCGTATTTTATACATTCATTATGTGTAGGTATGTGTTGATCCGGCAAAAAACTGTTAAACCATGAGCTATCATTTAGCCATATCCGAAATACATTTTAAACATTTTTAACTACTTTATAACGATATTTTGTTTGCTGTTACTTCCCATATGTGTGAGTGTGTGTGTTTGTTTGTGTTGTGTGTGTGCTATTTATTTGTACTTGACAAATTGCTTATTATGATAGCTAACAACGTACAAGAGATAACAGAAGTGAAATCACATAAGTTTGAGCTTTGAACTCTATGTCACTTGCTTTTCAGTTCTCACGCGGATAAAATTGTAGTAGTAATAGTAGTTGCTGTGATAGTAATAGTATAAGTAGTAGTCGAAGTAGTAGTAGTAGCAGTAGTAGTTGTTGTTGTTGTAAGAGCGGTTGAGTAAGATTTGATTTCAGTATATATACCCGATTATAAGTATTATTTCAAATTAGTATTGATGTACACACACATTTACAAATGTATGATGTTTATGATCCGACAATAACACATCAAAGGAACCGACATTGAACTTTTAAAAAAATTTTCTCAATTCAATTTTATTGTGATGTCGACAATGATAATGAATCTGCAATAATATTGCAATACGGATAACCATCCTACGCCAACATATCAAAGGACAATTTAAGATAAAATAAATATACATGTGTTAATCACATATATAGAGCATATACATTATATTATGTTATATCATATTATATTATGTTATTTTCTATATATATATATATATATATATATGTATATGGTATTAATATTTTTTGTAATTCAACTAAACTAATGTATATTGTCAATATATTGGTTTTGTTGCTTTGTTTATAACTTTTAAATTATAAATGTAAAAAAAATTTTTTTAGTGTAGTTAGTGCTAGATAAGCGAGATACGTTCATAAATGTATATGCGTTTATTCCACATATTTGCATTTATATAATTCGACGCAAAAAAAGACAACCGTTTGTTAAGCGCTAAAAAAACGATGCAGTTAACAAATCATTATGAAAGCTACCTTTTAGACATAAAACTAAATATGAACTTTGCCCAGACGATAACGCAAGAATGACAGGCCGTATCAACTTTCACTAATTTTTCATCGATTAGGACTTGGTTTTTGAACCCGTGAATTATGAATTTAATAAGTCGTTTGTTATGTGATGCCATTGCAATAACTAACTTTTGCTGTCAAGTCATTTAAAAAATGTACTGATCAAAAAATAAAAACATATCAAGTTCTATATAATATTATTTATAATTTATATTATAAAAATTATATATATATATATATTATAGCTTATACTTATACTATAGCAATGAGGAGCATATATTTTATTATAAATTATATACCATTCAAGATTTCTTATTGCTTCAAGTTTCTAACATGATTTTATTGTTCTATTATAATTGTGGTATTAATTGATGATAAAATTTTAGGTTCATATCCTTTCTAGTTCCTTTTTTATATTTTATTAGTTTTTGAAAGATGCAAGTTTATTCCTTCCTTATTAGTTATTAATTTAGGTCTGAAAATCTGCAAAATTTTTATTTTTTTTGACAAAATAAGCTTAATTAAATTAGTACTAATCATTATCTGATAGATATTTTTTGAAGTTCAACAGCACTAAAAACTAAAACTACTCCAAGAAGGTTTGTTGCTAAATCTTTTGTCAAAAAATCTATAATTACTTTCATTGCAGTGTTAGCAAAACTTAGTGACAAAATTTCATCAATCTTATTTAAATTAATTTAGTTTAAAATTTTTTCTTCAAGTGTCACTGTCATCAACAAACATCACAATGTTAGCCAGAAAGATAGCCATAGTAGGGGCTGGTTCTGCTGGACTGGCTGTTCTTCGTCAGTTTTGTGTCCCCACAATACATAACCAACAAGAAAAAGATGAATATAGATTCGAAGTCACTTGTTTTGAGCAACTTTCAGATGTTGGGGGTTTGTGGATTTATTCAGACGTCATCACTGATGTCAATCATCCAGTTGGTAGTCAGTACACAGCTGTGTATAAAAGCCTGATGTACGTTTTAGTGAATTTATAAATGCTTTTTGCATAAATTATGTTAATTTAATAAAATCAATGGTAATAATAGCGATAGTATTAATATTCTTTAATCTATTTTTAATTTTTTTAGTACTAATCTACCCCACCAAATTATGGCCTTCACTGATTTTCCATTTCCTAAAGAATTACCGACGTATGTGGGGCATGAAGTAGTGAAAGATTACCTGCAAAGTTACTCTGACCATTTTAATTTAAAACAATTCATTCAAGTTAGTTTTCAAAAAGATTATTTTTAACGTTATTAATTTACAAGGCTCTCAGCACATATTAAAATGCATTTTTAATAAGAATAAAATATAATAACATGCTCGTTATAATCTTTTAGAATGAATAAATTTTCATCACTAATCAGTTTAACACGAGGGTAATTGACATAAAACCCCAAATTGTGATTGGTCACGATGACATTTGGTCTGTTTCAGTTGAAAATGTCCATTCAAAGATAATTACAAAGCATACATTCGATGCAATCGTCATTTGTAATGGGTTGGGTTTGCTACAGTTTTTTTCAATAAAAATAATAACCATTATTAGTTGTATTGATAATAAGGTAATGATATTTGTAGTAGTAGTTGTAGTAGTAGTAATAGTGGTAGTAGAAGTAGTAGTAGTAGTAGTGGTGGTGGTGGTAGTAGTAGTAGTGTTGATAATATTATTCATTCAACATCTTTTAACTTTTTGCAGACATTTTTCAACGCCAAACTACCCAAGAATAGAAAATTTAGATAAATTTTCCGGAAAATTAGAACATTCTATGGTGTACAGGAATGCAGAAGATTACAAAAATAAAAGAGTTCTCATAATTGGAGGGGGTCCGAGCGGGGTCGATATTGCTTCTGAGGTTTGTCAGTTTGCCGAGAAAAGTAAGTAAGATGTTTTAGATATCTTTGATGATGACGGAAGTGCTATTTTATTACTAATTAATGGTTTATTAGTTAATTATTCCAACAGTAAAAAGGACTCTCAGTTTGTATGAAAGAGTTTAATTTTCAGTTCTGTATGATAATAATAATAAGGGTAATATATATATATATATATATATATATATATATATAATAATATATATAATATAATATATATATAATATATATATATAATAATAATAATGGTAACAATGATACTTCTCAACAGCATGGCTCAGTCACAGAGATGACGATCAATGGACCGGGTCAGAAAAAATTGAGCAAATTGGTGAAATATCACACATCCGTCAGTCATCGGCGTTCCTAATCAACAAGAGTAACCCGCAATCTGTCGAAAATGACCTTAAAACTACACTAACAATATCCGATAAGGCGCCTCCAAGCACGGCCCATCTCACACAAAATCCGAATGTGCGATCCATCGACAACATCGATTGCATCATATGTTGTACGGGCTATTTATACAGCTATCCATTTTTAGGTTCTGACAGTGGTGTGGCTGTCCTTGGCCCCGCCCACGTTGGGCCCCTCTATAAAGATTTGATTAGTGTGAGGAGGCCCTCACTAGCTTTCCCGGGTCTTCAATCCTCAATCATTCCATTCCCTCTCACAGAATGTCAAGCCAAGTTTTTAAAAGCTCACCTATCTGGTAAAGTTAAATTTCCTAAAACCGGCAAAGAGTTGGATGAAGTTTTGAGTAGAGATGTCGAAGCGAAAAGAGCTAGTGGTGTAAATATTGAAAGTGACCCCCATAGGACGGGCGTCTGGCAATGGCAATACATGAATGAGTTGGCGGCCTTGGCTGGATTCGAACCTCCTCCTAGTTACTATCCTGCTTTGCATGCTGCTGTTATCAAGGATAGGAAAGAATCATTACAAAATTACAAGTCTAAAGAGTATAAAATTAACGAAGATGGCACTTTTTATGAAGTTTTGTAATTAATTCAGTGACATGTAATAAAAAATTTGTATTGTAATTGTATTTTCGATCTTATATTAACTTAATAAAAATAATTATTTGAAGATGTAACGTTTATTAGACTTTTTTTAGTTCTTTAATAATACATTTTAGTCATTTGTTAGATTTTTTCATTCTCGCTGACATTCCGCGACAAAGTTGGATTAGTATATAGTACAGTATCTTATTGAACAGTATCTTATTGAAAAAATGTAGTATCATAAAGTGAATCTATAGATACTTTTTTCAAAAATTAAAAAAATTCTCAATTTGATTTCATTGCGTTATCGATGATGATGATTGTGACCTGACTGATTAGAAAACATCAAATAAAACTTTTAAAATAGGATGGGTATATCGTTGCGAAATTGTCGCACGAAATGACGTCATGTTAACAGTAGTTATTTTACTGCAAGGTCGTTAATCAGCCTGTATAAAGGTTATACTCAATTCCTATCAAATAATTTTCACCAAACATCTTATGCACACAAAACTAAATAAAGAAATAGATAGATAGATATATGTAGTTATTATACATTTATATTGTTATATTTACGCATTCAAATTGTACTTTGTGTTATGATGTGGTCTAAAATTATTTTGAATTCTCTCAGAAAAATTTAAACTGCGTGCGTACATATGTAAAATTATTTACTGTTTTATAATTGGTTTATATAATATCAGAAAGTTTCAAAGGATCGTCTGGTAAAGGATCGACTGTTGTTAGCGTCAATTAGCTTGATTAGCATGGTTGTTGTTGTTGTTATGTTCAACTCTTCCTTTTCTCATTTCTCTCATATATACACGCGAACATGTTCACGTACATAAGCCCATACATAATCACGTCCTCGATGTTTTTGATTTAGCAAAAACACATCAAACAAACCGACCTTGACATTTAAAAAAAAATTTAACTAAATTTCTTGCCAAATCTATGTTGATTACTGTTAATCATTATACAAAAACTATCATGTATAGCAGATCACACCAGCCAATCAGAATTTCTTATTTTTTGTCGTTGGAGGAAATGACGTCAATTTAGCTGTATAGTTATTTAACTGTGATGGTGAACTAGCAAGTATAATCATTACCTATTCAATTCCTATCAAATTCTTTTTTACAAGGTTGAGAGTAATTTAATTTTATAGGTAGTTAAGTTATACTCATTAAGAATTTGAGATATCATTAGTTAAGGTTATTGGATAAGTAGATAGGATTATTTGTAAAAAGTAAGCAATTTGAGATGCAGGCACCGCTATGCTTTCTGATGAGAATCTTCTCTTTCTCTCTTTCTTCATCAACACAGAGTGATCAATCATTCAACCAATCATTTATTCGTTTGTTCCTTCGTTCTAACATTCATTTACTACTACGCTAAAAAAAATGTGGGATGTGTTGGGAGTCAGCATATATTAAATGCTGACTGATTTTTAGATATTTTTTTAATTTAGTTATATAATTTTTGGTATTTCTTGATTTACTTTGTATATATGCATGTACAAAAATTTCTGTTTTTTGTGCTAATTTAGTCATTACATGTTGTGAACTATTCTTACTAAATGAATAAGTGGATTATCCTTCGAGAACTTTTTAGGAGTGTATATGATTAAAAATTAAAGAGAATTACTGTTTTAAATATATTGAGTCAAATAAATATCTCATATAGCTTGCTCATTAAAACCCAAACAACTTTGTAAGTAAGCCAATAAGCCAATCAACCAATGAAATAAAATAGCCCGACCCATTTACCCACAATTTTGGTTTAAATCTTTCGAATTGTTAATCTCCATCTATTTTGACTGCACAAAATATTTAGACTATTTTCTTTAAGATAAAATAATTATGTAATAAATAAATAAATAAACAGTTTATTAAATTATAGAAAATAAAAAAAGTTAATGGCCAATAAAGTGACAAGAAAAATAAAAAATGTCGTTAAGCAGTACACTTTCGCCGAAGTTAAAATTAGGGAAGCTACGTCAAACGATCCTGGAGGTCCAACGCCAAAACAGTTGGACGAGATAGCTGAACTGTCGTATCATGCGGTGGCCGTCGTTGAAATATTAGGAATAATCTGGAAGAGGTTGAGTGATGGTGAGAAACAATGGAGACATCTGTACAAGTCACTGATTGTTCTTGATCATCTTGTGAAATGTGGCAGTGAAAAGGTTTTTTAAAACTTACAGTTAATTACTTTCCACAATTAAGTAATAAATTTATTAACTTGCAACATAATTGAATTTAAAAAATGTAACTATTTTATTTATTCATATGAAATATATTAAATTTTAATGTACAAATTACTAGGTTGCCTTGTACAGCCAAGAGAAAATAGACCTAATTAAACAACTAAATAACATAGACCTATATTATGATGGCTATGATGTGGGGACACAAATTAGTACAAAAGCCAAACAGTTAGTGTCACTGTTGACAGATAAAGATAGGCTACAAAATGAGAGAACAAAAATGCTTGCCGCCAAACGAACTTTTGCTAAAAATACAGGCATCACATCTCCTGTTCTTAAAAAAGCTGATGAAAAAATTATAAGTGAGTTTTTTTCTTCAATTTTTTCATTATTTTATTTTTGTAATTATAAACTTGTTAGATTAATATTTTACTGAGAAATCAGATTATAAAAAGAGAAATGTTATGATAAAAAAAATAATAATTTCTAATCTCCTAAAAACTTTCATGCACATTAGACACTGGCGGCGCACTGAGGTCTCACTCGGCCACACCTACCAGACAGCACGCCACAAAATCGAGAGGACCCAAACTAAACATCAACACTCCAGCCAACAATCCACACAAGGGTGACGTCGACGACAATGATGATGTTGACGATGACGTCCAATTAAAACTTGCCCTGGCTATCAGTAAAGAGGAGTATGAACGGGAGAAGAAAGAACGAATGAAGGATGATTTAAAATTTCAACTTGCTTTACAAGAAAGCAAAATTGCTCTTGAAAATGCAAACATCGACATTGCCTGGGGAATCAACAACCACTCCAAATCAACAACAGCAACAACAACAAAACATAGTGCAGATGATGATGATGAGCTGATAAATATTGATGTATTAACTGGCAATGAAGTTGGGACTAATCAATCAGAAGTAAACTCCCACGCAGGATCTAAGCACAATGCTGATAACAAAGCAACAAAGACATCAACAATGGCCGCAACATCAAAAACAACAAAATCAAAGGCATCCACATCAAAAACAACAACTTCAGAAACAGAAGTCGATGACAAACCGAAGCAAAAAGTTACGCTACTATCAATAGCCTTAAGTTCACAGAGCTCTCCACCTCCGAGCAGCAACAACAACAACAACAGCCTGATCAACAATAACATCAACAACAGCAATGATTTCAATCTTCTATGGGACGATAATGTATTTGACACGTCAAACAACACATCAATGACAACAACCAACAACATTAATGACGCCAGCAAAAGCTCAAACGACACGAGCAACAAGGTCACTTCTAACAATTTCAATGCTTTTGATCCTTGGTCAATTTTCGAAGATACTTCTAGAAATGGCAGTAATGATTTAATCAATATCGCTACTACTAATTCTACTACTACGGCTACAGATGCTACTAATTCTACTGCTACTAATGATAGTATTTATGATGTAACCAACGACAGTCTCAAACAGAGCAGTAGTAATAAAAATTATGACCCCTGGGCAGAGTTTAACAACTTTCAGATGCCAACTTTTTCATCCGACAACGCTTCAACAACTTCAACAGCAATGACACTGAACAATTATTCAACCATTCCCTCTCTGGCTTTTGCCGATTTGAATTTGAACGGCTGGCCTGCTGGCAAACAACAAACGGCAATTGTCTCAGCTACATCGTCCTCAATGGCTAATCCTCCTACATTAATGATGTCGCCATCAAATCCATTTTTGGATTTTTCCAGCCAGGCCAAACCAACCTCCACTACTACAAACTATCCCCACCAGCAGTTCATATCATTTCCACATCGGCAAACGATAGCAGCGTTTAACAACGCCCAAGAAAAGGATAATAACCTACAATCACTCTGTACAACGACAACATCTTCATGCAACAAAAACGACAGAGAATTATTTTTCAAGCAAGGCAACAACAACAACGATGAAAGCTTCACAGCTACTAGCAACTGCAGCCAAAATTTCACATTTTCGTCCAATAATCCATTCCTCTGATGATGATAATGATGACGGCGATGGTGATGATGATGACAACGATAAGTTTAATGATAATGACGACGATGATGCATTTTATTTTATATAATAATTTTTTCCATTTATTTTCAAAAAATTTATTTTTTAATTTCACCTATTTGTCTACCTTCTACTTAATTGCAGTGGTTTCGTCATAATAATTAATTAATTCATCAATTGTATTCATAATTTATTATTTATATTATTACGTAACTTACATAATACTTAAAAAGAAACAATCTTTCTTATGCTAATAGCTGTTCGTTTATTCAGTTCTTTTACAATTTTCATACATTTTCACTATTTATTCATTTATTTGAATGTACGTGTGTATGTTTGTATACGATTATATATGTATGTTTGTATACAATTATACATGCATGTTTGTATACGATTATGCATGCATGTTTGTATAGGGTTATGCATGCATGTTTGTATAGGATTATGCATTATATATATGTGATGAACATGACATATAAAACCATGATGTGAAATGTTTTTCTTCTGTTGTCGTCAGTTATAGTATATGTACACTTGAGTAGGTCGCGCACAATTACACATACATACATTCAAACTCACATACATACATTAGAACTCACATACATACATATATACGTACATTTCAATATTATTACAAAGATTCAATGCATTTTGTATTATGGAGGGAGCAACAAAGTACCTATCTGTGCAGGAACCCCAAACATAAATAAACACTGGAACCTGAAATTGATTTTAGCTCCCACATAAGGAGCTTATCAACAAGGGGACCATATATACGTACATACATACAAATTAACATAAATTCATACATACATACTTACATACACACATACATCCATGCATTGTTATTACTACAGAGGTTCAATAATGCCTTTTGTATTCTGTATGGAGCTTTAAAATATTTTTAAATATTTAAATACTTTTACCCGGCTATGTGGGACCAATTATATAAATAAAAGTTAAACCTTGAAATGACTGCTTGCACCCGCTATGGCATTTTGATCAAAACCGGTTCACACATACACACACATACATACATACATATACGCACACACATACATACATACATATACGCACACACATACATACATACATATACGCACACATACATACATACATGCATGTACACATAAAATTTTAATATAATCATGTGATTGTGTTGTACTACATCGATAATTTCCTTATTTGCAGAAATTTTTTTATCAAAATTTGTAAATCATTCATTCAAGAGTTTTATTTTGTTCACACTTATGCTTCTGACAAATCATGTGATTTATACATACGTACACAAACACACACACACACACATATATATTATATACATATATATTTAACTTATCATTTAAAATATATATCTTGATAAAAATTGCCCTACTTTTATTTCTGAGTTCTGCTTTTCACGTTCAAATTTCATTTCAAATATATGTACGTATGTCTGTATATGTATGTATGTGACATACATTCGTATATATATATAACTATACATATATATTATTACTATTATATTATCATAAATTTATAAAATCTATATATATATATATATATATATAGAGAGAGAGAGAGAGAGAGAAAGAAAGAATTTGATTTGCCATGTTGCTAATTCGTTTAACACGGTTTATTCATTCGCTAATCTATTTAACAGCTTTTTTTATATATATATTCAAACTTCAATTGCATAATTGCTCAGTTTATTGTCATCATTAACGCCATTAGCGTGCTAGCAGTTTTTTTTCTTGTTATTTTCTTGCGTTATTCCATCATAGTCATTAGAGTTTGTGTGTCTATTTTACGTTCCAATGGATGGATCGGGTTGGAGGCAGAAGGAAGCTGAATGGAATAAAAAGTCAGATCCATAACGGATTGAGACTATTGAGGATTGATTGTCTATTTTGTGTTCCCTGGCTATTTTGTGTTCCTAGATTAGCAACCAGTTACGAATGATGTTAATCAGATAATAAGTAAGTTAAGTCCGCAGGAATGAGTAGGAATTTATTTACAAACGTGTAAAAAATTGAATCTAAGTAAGCAACGAATAAATAAATTAGATGAATTATTAATTAATTAACTAAATCAATCTTCGATATTGATTACGATTATATACATATTATGTGCACAACATAAATTAACATACATGTACAAATTAATCATTATTACTGCAATATTATTCAATATGCAATATTAGGCAAGCTCTCAGCTGATTAGTTGGTTTGTTTGTCATCTCATGAATACTAATTAATCAGATCATGAATGTTCACGGATCGCACCATCGACCACCTCATTAACATAATTTATTTAAAAGATTTACCATGATTAGAATGCGCGCGCTCACCCCATCGACACTAAACATTACCTTCACTACTAAAACTGAAGATTAAAAAATGTTAAGAGTGAAAAAATAATTTTATTATAATTATATTATAATATATACAGCATCATTATCACGATATATAATATATAATTATATTAATTTATTATGATTGTGAATAGGGCCCTTCAACTCCCCTTAGAGAACCTAAAGGTACATGCCGAATGACCCCACTTCCTCAACTTTCTCTTTCTAGGGACTGATTATGAATATGATCCGGTCCTGACATGATGAAAAGAATGATGGCTACGGTTATCTTTGTAATCACCTGTACTTCGAGAATGATAATCGTTATCAAAATTACTATTTTTATTGTTTTTATTATTATTATTCAAGCGTTTCTCATTGTAAACATCATTATCATCGTGATAATAATGCTGTTGATAGCTATCACTATCATTACGGCATTCAAAATCATCATCGTCGTCGTCGTTATGGCGGCCACTGTGGTGGTAGTTTCCGGTTCGAGAACTTCCATTTCCGGTTCGGGAATCCCCACTTTCACGTTCTATTAGATGCTCAATAGCGCCGTCCTCGACATTGGAACTGGACAATTTATGCTTCTTGTCTGTTCCGTATTTGAATTTGTGGAAAAACCCATTTTTGTATTGGTGCAAGTAATCTTTAGTACATTGACTGCCACTATTACTATTATTACCATTATTATTATTAATATTATTATTATTACTGTTGTTATCATTGTAAAGCATAGAGGACAGATGAGGAAGAGAGATATTGAGATCTTTGAAAGCTTGTAGGAGGAAAATCCCTGAGATAATGGTCAGGAATCCACACAAATTTCCCACAATGTCCTCTGCTGGTAATTTCGACCATTCCTATGTTTTTGTTTTTTTTTGTTATATTGGCCTTTTTGGTAAGGATAATAACCATTATGATAATTAATAATGATCATAGTGATGGTAGTGAAGATGACGAGATAATGTTAATTTTATCATGCGTACACACACGTACATAACACACACACACACACACACATACACACGTTCTCTCTCACACACACAAACAATTATTTGAAACGTGTTACAAACCTGTACACATACACACGCAAATACAATACCAAACACCACACAGACACACAAACACATACACGACGTAATAAAAAAAAACCTTGTACAAAATACCAGATGCCAATATAACACAGCCAGTGAATACAACGTACAACATTGGAGTAACAACTGCAGTGTTGAAAAGGTCCAGTGCCTTATTTAAATACACCATCTGGACACTTATGAAGAAGACCACGCTTATTAACAGAATCCAGAAGAACCAATTGCCCAATCTGGGGAAAATTAGTTAAAATAGGGATGTGCTGTGTTGAAGTATTGATGTAAATACAAGCTATAGAAATACAAATAATACGAACTCGTGCGTATTTCCACCAATGATCTCCTTAATACCAACTCCTAAACCTTTGCAGCCCATAACAGATAAAGAGCCAATCGTACCAGTAATTGTTACATAGATGAGAGGATTAGTTGAACCAAGCCGGGGCCCAACAAAGAAAATCAGGGTCAGTGAAAGAATTAGGACGACTATTGAGTATGATATGAAGCCTGCATGGTAAGTTTTTTGTTTAAATTACAAATCAAAAACTATTTTTTAAATTAGTTCGATGTTTCTAATTAAGATTGATGTGGCTGTGTAGAAACATTACATTGTGATGTTAATAATTCTTTGCTTCAGTGAAAATATTGGTAGAAATTTTAAAATTAAAATGAATTGTAATACAGTAACAATTGTCTCATTCATTGTTAAATAATTCTTAAAAAACCAATTTGAACCAACCAGGATCAGCCAGTCTGTACTGGAGATCCTGAAGTGACTTCACTTCCTGTTCTTTCGGGGAATGCAGGACAACGAAAGTGGACCCCAGCAGACACACCAAACATCCAACTTTGCCCAGGATGTTCAATTTTTCATTCAACCATTTGGAGGCCAAAAAAGCGCTGTTAAATTTAAAAAAAAATAGAGCTATAAAAAATATGTGACACTTGAACAAAAAGATATTAAAGTATAAGGTAGAACCAGAAGCTAAAAAGAAATAATGTTGTAATTTATCATAGTACCACCATTGTAGCAAAATGTATGCAATGACATTACAATGGACGACATTTTCATCATCATAAGTTCAATGTTTGTACATTTGGCTCAACTAGAAATAAATAATATAACCAAACTAAAATATAACTCACACTCAAAATATAACTCAAATATAAAAAATGACTAATTTAACTAATAAACTATAACATAATTTAATTAATAAACTAGTTGATTGATCGATTGATTAATTAATTAATTAATTAAATTAATTAACTAATTGATATATTGAATGATTTTAAGAAAAAAATACCTAAAGAGGACGCTGAGTGCTCCAAGAGGTGTTACTAAGGTAGCAGGAGCAAATGCATATGCAACAAAATTTGCTGCTTCCCCAATACCCACTATTTTGAGGAAATTGTTAAAAATAAATAAATTTGTAATTTAATTATTAGTAAAAAAAAATAAATTATTAATTAATGAATAGTATGTAGTAATTTGATAATATTATAGTTTTATTAAATCATACAGGGAAAAAAATTTATATATTTTATTGAATTTTCATTGACAAATTATAATTTTAAAATAAAATAGTAAAAACATATTCTGAAATATTTTTGAGTGTTCCATAAAATAAATAATTAACCGGCACAAACTTAAAATCAATCCAGCCCACCACATCCATTCCTTCAGGTAACCAAAGCCACCAGAACCTTGAGGAGAAGTAAATTTGATGCTGTAAAATTATCATGTTGTAAAAAGATTATACATTGACTACTATTTTAATTAAAAATAAGCTTTGGTATTCTTAATATATAAAATGATTTTTTAGTGTTTCTGTTTTTAGCCTTTAGTTAGAAATATTAGAATTAGTTCTTTGAGTTATTATTAATGAGTTTTCTTATGACTTTTTAGTTAAAGACTAAAGAGTTACCTTACTTTCTTCTTAGAAACCCTTAAAACTGCTATCATTTATTTTGGGTTGATTAAGATGAGAGATCACTTGGATTTTAAGATTCATGACCAAGAATTAATTTTAAAAAAAATTCACTTTTAAACAACTAGCACTCATTTACTTAGGTTATGAAATGAATGAGCTCTCCAACCAACAATGTGAAGATAAATTTTACAAAATTATTACATAAAAACATAAATCTTTAGTTTAGTTAGTTTTACCAGCTCTGTGAGAAAGTTTCAATAAGCCCTTCTTCTTTAAAATGAAACTGGAACCAATGAAAATGCTTGAACTGACAGCCAGAGATAACCCAATGTAAAAATCTCTAGTGCCTGTGTCCATATTTACATTAAAGCTTACAAAATTAAATTTATTTTCAGAGAGAAAGACATCTAATTTTTTAGACTAGTTAAAAAATTTATAAACGGCTAGTGATCATTTCAATGGGTTCGCTTTGTTAATTCGTGACTAATTTCTTTATATTCATTTAAACTTTGATTCGATTTTGTTATTAGCTATTGAAAGAAAAAATTACAAAGTAATAATTTTATGGAAAGCTAATCGACTTTTAAAATTTCAATATAAATGAAGGAATGAGAAATAAAAAAAACGAAACTTAACCTTTTTTCAAAAATCGTCGTTACTGATATCCATTGCACCGACCACCACATTCAGATCGGCATACAAGATTTCATTCGAACTTCTGAGTGTCAGTCGAAAAGCCAACGCCAATTTATTATATATAATATAAATTCATTATAAAGGCAACAGTAATCAGTGCTACATGTGCAAGCCGTGGTTCAAATTTTTCGGGGAGAATTCAAAATAGTTTGAGATCACACCTTGCTTAACATCCGATTCCAAGCCGAGCCAAGCCAAGCTGAGTCAATATGCGTAGGTTTATAAGCGCTTTTATATTAAAATTTTGCTCGCTATATATATATATTATATAAACTCATTGTAAAAACAACTGTAATCAGTGTACATATGTGTAGCTCTGATTACAGTTGTAATTAATTTTGTAAATTAATAAAAGTAATTAATTGTCACACTGAATAATAATTAAAAAAAATTAAATTGAAAACCTTTTAAATAAAAGCAATATTCCGAAATAAATACACGATCATTAATTTTGACTCGAACGATAAAAAAATAACCCTTCAACTCCCTTACGGAAGTAAGCTCCTTGTTAGACCATTAAAAGTGAGCAAAGGCCGTTATATTTATTCCAGTTATGTGGTATATTAACGATTGTATATTTACTAATTACAGAATTTTGCTTTTATTTAAAATGTTAAAATTTTAATTTTGTTTAATTGTTATTAAATTTGGTAATTAATGACTTTTACTTGGTATAAATTTAAAAAAATAAAATCGACATTACCGAAAATAATTAAAAGTTGAAAAATTGAGATTCTTTGCATATCCCTGCTTCAACCCATAAGAAAGTGTTGTATATTAATAAATGGGCCTCCCCTTGAAATACTCAAGCTAGCACGTAGAAAGGAAGAGACCAGACAAAAAACCGACCCAAAACTATCTCACCAGAACTCACAAAACTTAATCAGTACTATCTCACCAGAACTCACAAATCAGTATTCATAATGTACAACCGTGCGTGAACGAAAAAAAATTTACACAAAAATTGAAACATAATGATTGAAAATAATAGCAAAAGTACCAAAATAAACATTAAAGAATTTAAATTTTCGAAATGAAATCGCGACAAATCATATTAAGTGATTGTTCAGTTAACCAACCAATTGATAAAGCAACATGCAAAAATTAAATAACTGATAGAGACGGTTAAGAAATATAGTCAAACGTAATACACACATTAAATTATACCCAAAATAATATGCTTATGTATGTTCACGTGTGTGTGTGTGTGGTTGTTTGCATGCATTTATTTATACAATTATTTATAAAGATCACTGTTCAACTTGTAGTTGAGTTTCTCAATTTTGAAATTGAGAAACTCAACTACAAGTTGAATAATGCCGAAAATGCAGCGATCTTTATAAATAATTGTATTTATGATAGTCTAAACCCAGCATTTATTTATATATACACACACACACACACACACACATATATATATATATATATATATATATATATATATATATTGAAAGGAGACAATATTTTATACAATATTGTATGAATTCTAAAATTCATACAATACTGCATATATATACATACATATATAAATAAATAAATATATATATATATAAATATATATATATACGTATATATGGCTCACGTATGCATGTATAAAAACGAGTCAGCAATTTGCATAAAATTAATTTTCCATCAAGTTGTGCAACTATACATAAACATTTTAGTCTGAATTATAATTGTTTGTAATGAAAAACAACCACACATAGGCGCGCGCGCGGATACAGCCAATGTGACCATCTAGGACAAATCTGTATAGAAAAAAAATATAAATTAACAAAAGTCAGTATTTAACAAGAAATTAAATTGAAATTAAATTGTATTAATAAAAACAAATTGATCAATATTCAGGAAAAAAAGATGTTCACAAATAAATGTATCAAAAATTATAGAAACATTTTAAAAAATACCAACAACTGCAGTGAAAATACTCCTCACTGATCTCATCAACAGAGTTGTAACAAGAATTGTTAGAGTCAACGTTGAAGGAATAAGCATTACCAAACGACGGTGGTGGCAAAAAGTTATTCCTATTGTAGCCACTTATGCAGCCAGCCATTCTGAACTTTCTACTAATCTGATCATTGTTGAACTTCACAAGTGATTCATATTGCTCTGTGTTAAGGAAAGTCAGAATAATAATTAATTGTAATGAATTTAATAATAAAATGTTAATTATAGTTAAATATAAAAAGGAATTGATAAAAATAATAAAATTGTTATTTGTTTAAAGCACTGTCTATCAGAAAGACAAAATTTAAAAAACAAAAAAATTTCTAACCAGATAGTTTATCAGCAAGAATTTTGTCAAACAACTCTTTCACTTTAGTCTCATGTTCCTCAAGGATTGCATTCCTAATGAAGTCAACCGTTTTAAGCGAGACTGTCTTATTTTTAAGTTCATCCACGTTTTTCTGATTTCCCATCACTGATTTTTGAGCTGTTCTGTAGAGGTTAAGTAAATTAACAGGAGCTATCTCAGACATCATTAGCCTTTCTGCCTGTCTAATTTCAGTTTTGCATTTTGTAGACAGCGGAGTCTGTGGAGATGACAAAGACGGATAGATGAACGACGGCGAAGTAAGTGATGATGTAGATTGAAATGTTGATGGGGATTTACTAAAAGCTGTTGCTGCCGTGGCATCAATTAAGATTTTTTTGATGGCATTCCCTTCCACATCGTCATCATTATCAATATCATCTATTTCTCCATTGGTGTTAATCTTTGAGGTGCGTGTATTGAATGCGCTTGATCTCTTTAAACTGGACAATGGTGAAGATGGTGAGAAATGAGAGGGAGATAAATGAAGGCTGTTCTGGTGCAGCTTTGCTGACAGGCGCTCTGTTTTTAATGCAAATTCATGTACAACAACAATAAGTAAATAAATTTGAAAATATTGGAAACCAAACCATTGAATTAAATTAAATTAAAAAATGTAAACTGTGTACCACCAACCATTATTGAGTTTATGAGCTGCATCTATGAATGCCTGACTATTTGATTGCTGGTTGTACAACTGCGAGTTAGAATCATCACTATTGAAGATATCATAATTTAGGCAGGTTCTTTTTGGGGAACAGCCACCAGGTGACCCTAACAAAGCATCGAATTCGTGATGTCGTTTTAGAGTTGCTCCACAAGCCATCTTTTATATTTCAGGGTTTTATCTTTTTGTCCTTTTTTCTAATTGCAATTCTAAAATTTGAAAGCATTTTTTATGAAAATCAATTTTGGAAAAAAATGTTTAATTAAATTATTTTTTAATAGGAATTGATTTATTAAAGATAAGACATGACTTTAAAGTTTAAATTTACTAAAAAAAAATTAAATTTACCAAAAAAAAAACACATGTAACATTTAAAATTAAATTAAATGGTTTTGTTAAATTTTAAATAACAAAACCAACTGAAACCAAAAATTAGATTTTAGCTGTCAAATGAATTGTCAAATATTGATATTCAAACAATTAATTTTTAAATACAAAAAATGAGCTTAAATTAAATATTAAAATAATATAGGTAGTCAGTTCACTAAAAATGAAAATTTAAAATTTAATTAAATTAAATATTAATTAAATTAAATTAATTAAATTACAATTTAAATTAAATGAGAATGCCGTTTTCTCCAAATGACTCCATTTTAAGAAGATTTAACAAGAAATGTTTAACGATTTATTTCAAAAATGCGTTTTAATATCTCAAAAAACTAATTTAAAACCTTCTCCACTGTTTCAGACGGCCAAAATCACCAAACAACCGAACGGAAACAACTAAGAAAAATGATTTTAGAACAACGTACCTTCAGTTTAAATAGACATCGGTTCTATGCTTGATAAATTTAAATTTATTAATCCTCTGGCGCTTTATTATTAGAGATTTATGTTACTGAAATGTGTGTGTGTTTATATATATTCACATTATATGATATTTGGATTTGAAAAGTCATACTTTTGTGATTTGTAATTACTGATAAATAAATCAGTTATATTTCAACTTTATATATATTCATTAATAGTAAATTTTGTTGCAAAAAACATTTATATTTCAAATAATAGTAATATACATGTATGTTAAAATATATAATTTGAAAAAAATCAACATATTTTATAAAAAAAAGTCTTTAAAAAATGGAAATTTAATTAGAATGTAGTAGATTTCGATGATCGTAGGCAGTTAGTTTCCTCATTCAAAAAAATAAAATAATTCGTGATACAAAGTTAATTAATAAAAATTTAAAGTATTAATATCATATGTTGTTAGTTCTACGAACATGTGGATAATATTAAAATGAGGACAAATAAGATGATGATGTTGATGATGGTGACAACGTTAAATGGGTAACAGTCATCATCGTCGTCATCCTTGATCGCTGATTTATACGTATTAGGATACAAACTGACAGTAAATCTCATTCAAGTTTTTTTTTACAATCAAAGAAATAAATTTGAATTTCATTATTGCGGAAACACAATTAAATTGCAAGGAGGCAATTAACATACATGCAGAATCAAAAACTCAGCAAATGAGAATCGGGGTAGGGGTTATCATTTTTTTCTCTCATCTTTTGGCATTTCCAACTCGTGCCATTGCGCGATTGGCCGTCGGGGGTTGCTCAACATTTCTGACCAATGTTTAAGAGGTGATCCCGTAGAATTGCACCCCACCGTTATGGCGCCCATTGTTTCCGATTTTCCGATTAGGTCGTAGTCGATTACAGATATGATCAGGGATGTTTTCTGATGGAATTCGTTCAATGGATGGATTAATCTAACGATTAATCAATCAAATCTATATGTCAGGCAGTCAAATTGAATAATCAATCATTCAATCAATCATCGATCAATCATTCATTCAGATACAAGTCTATCATGCTGTGTTTGTCTTAGTAGAAACTAGAAAGTTGGCACAACGCGTAGATTCTGTACATGCAAGCATCACCGCATAGCAGCAGTAACGACAGTAGTAAAAGTAGCAGTAGTAATGGCAGTATAATTACCTGAATCTGGTCAAAGGTCACGTCAAAGATGAACTCCTCGTTGTAATACGGATTCAAGGTTTTCTTCTTCACTGACGTTTTCTTCTTTTTTATCCTTTTCGAGCCCATCATTAGAGAAATCTTTACATAGGGATCTTTAGTTGGGATCATAATATTTTGAGTTCGAAATGTATGTGTGTGTGTGTGTGTGCGTGCGTGTGTTTACGCATGTACGTACGTACGTAAATAAACCTGACCTGACAAACCAATTGAATCCATTTTTTTGAGATTTTTAGCTTCTAGAATGACGACCGTTAACTTGCCAGCAGTGGGAACGTAACGCAACGTGAAGTACAAACTTCCTAATCTACTATCCTAATCATAATTACAAACATAATTCTTAATATAATTATGATTATAATTAATTATAACAGGACTGCAAAACGGTTAACTACAGACATACCTCCCCGCAGTTTTCAGAGTCGGGCTTCTGTATGTGGGCCCATTTTTCAACCACGTCCCCAAAATCAACCGACGACAACTCGAGGTCAACTTTGCCTATTTGATCGTGTTTGGAGAAGAGGTTATGGTCATATATAAGAATACCTAATGTTCTTTTCGTCAGTTCTGCATAGGGAATCTGATTGGGAATTAGTTTGAGGTGGATGGATTATTAAATTAAGTTAGCGATATAATTCAGAAATTTTAAATGGTGTTGGCGACGATGACGATTTCTATTAAAGTTCTCATAAAATGACGTCATTGTTGACATCAATATCGTCATCACCGCCATCATCATCATCCACATCATCACCATCACCTTAACGGAGAAATTTTCATTGAACACTGGATTTAGAGATTTGTTGATGACTTTAGTTTGATAGGCCTTCGTGTCGGGCTTAAGAAAGAATTTAATGTACGGATCGCTGAATTTATTGTTATCCATTGCCGGTAGGTCTGTGCATTCAATCATCGTTATGGTCACCTTTACAATTAATACAAATTTAACTTTTTTTAAAAGACGTATATATATATATTGTTTGAAAGCTAGCTCGGACGGTAGCATTGCCATCCTTTGTGTTGTTATGTCATTATCTTATTGTTGCAGGTTTAAGTGGATCGAATGCAGACTGTGCAAAATTTAAAACCTGTCATTCGCCTGTCCTGTTTTTACGTTGTGTGGTGTGGACTTACATACCTACAAATAGTTTCTTATATATATATATATATATATATATATATATATATATATATATATATATATATATATATATATATATATATATATATTGTTGAACTCGATCGAATTTATCATTATATGTCGTTTCTTATTGAAGATTTCCAGCTTACTTGCCGATTTCTTATCCTCCCGCTTCCCGATTTGGACGAGACGAACAAAAGAAGTTGATAAGAATGCTGAAAACCTTAAAATGGAATGTCACCTTCGAATGACCTCAACAAAATTGCACACAAATGTGTGTGTTTGTTGTGTGGTGTTAAGCGAAAGGTGAAAAATTAATGATTGAATAAAAACAACGTGAAAAGTAATCAAAAAAAAGTTAAAAGCAACCTCACTAGCGTTATAATCATAATCCAGGGAATAATGTACCCGACCTAGTTTAACGTCACCTCCGTCATCTTTCTCTTTCTTGTTTGCCACGCAGTCGTCAATTTTCAAGTCGTTTAACTCCGGCTGAACCTGAAAATTAATTATATGATTGTTCAGTCAGTCATTATTCGGTCATCAATTAAATATCTAAATAAATATTGTACAGGCAAATAAATCAGAAACTAATTTTACAAAATTAAAAGAGAGAGGGTAACTCTTTCTTTGTAAGAGTGGCCTAAAGCTTTGACAGCGTCCACATCAACTTTCCCTCCTAACGTCGATGCTTCAGTTCCGAATTTTAACTTTCGGCAGAATTTCGCCTTCAGACAAAATATGACGAAGATGACGACGATGACGATCAATATGGTGGATACAAGCGCCCATGTGTAAGGTGTCTCCATATTTACTAAAGTTATTATTATTATTATTGTTAATTTTATTATTATTACTGTTGTTGTTGTTATTCCATATTGTTATTGTTGCTGTTGTTGGTGATTTGATTGCTGTATGTAAACGAGCATCTGATGTTAATATTGACGGCGTCGAACTTGTTATTTAGGCAGGCAGTGCTGTTTAGGATTATGTAATTCAAGGGTTGATTTGTTGTTGCTGACGATGATGATGACCTTGTTTTTACTGTTGCTGATATAACGATGATGTTGATGTTTTTTCAATCGATTAATCTCACAATTACATTCATGCATCTTACACTTACAACATGGCTAAACCACAATCAAACCATATTCATGTACGAATTTCAAACGATTCAAAATGATACTTAAATAAAGTTTAATTCAAGAATTTAAACGAAATTCAAAATATATGATTAATATGAACCTCAGTATTTTATTTTTCTTCAAAGTTATATTTTTATACCACTAAATCAATTTGACTTCATCTGCATACATACAGCAAGTTATCTTATATAAAATAACAAATTTTTAATATTGAAAATCAATAAATTGAATATATATATATAAATATTGATATATATATATATAGAGAGAGAGAGACAGAGAGAGAGAGACAGAGAGAGACAGTGAGAAAGAAAGAGAGAATGTGCAAAATTACGTACGCTATTAAAATGTTCACATCTGTCGCTCGTTTTCTTCATATTTCATACATTGCTTTTTCTATCTCTCGAGTTGATGATGGTGACGACGATGGTGACGATGAAGAGGATGATAAAATTTGTGTAAAAAATAATATGGTGATAAGTCATTGCCGATGTGACAAAGATAATAATGGTGTATAAGCGCGCATATCATTGTTTAACTCATTCATTTTTTAACTATCGAAATAATCATTTATTTATCAATGTCCCATAAAGTTCAACGGTAATATTGTTATAACCGCGAACATGATTATTTCAATTAATCATTATTATCTTGATTATTTGTTATTTTTGCAATATTTGTAATTTTTGGAAGGTGAAAATATCTGGTTTTAGCAGCGAGGTTTGAATCCCTTGTTTGCAGGCAAGTCGTAAATATGATTTATGTAGTTACTTGGATTAGTTTAGTATTTCTATTACTGTTGACATTCGAATGAACGTCCAACCAAGTTTGCATTTGAAGCAGTTTTGTTTGAAATATAGAGATCGTTTAAAGTTTATACAATTGGCGTTGCTAGTAACGAGCGTTCAAAATATTACGACAATATTTAGAAGTACAAGAAATGCATACTGACAATAGAATATGTCAGTAATAATCATAATATAAAATAATAGTTTTTTACTAATATAATTTATCAATATTTACTTTAAAATAGTATGATAGTAACTTAAATGATAAAAAATCTACGTTTAATAATATTGCAATATAGTCGTGATTCGGGAAATATACATGGATATATATCCTTGGAAATATACAAGTATATTCTTGTATGTCTATGGTCGTTGTAAAAATCATTTCTTATTTAGGGTCTTTACATTCGAACTATGTATTTAAGTGTACATCGTGCTAAGTTGTCGGTCACTTTGGGAATTGCGAATTTGTCTATCGCTATTATTCTTGTTTTCCATTTTATTTTGCAATAATTTCAAAAATTAAAAACTGAATCAATTCGAAAATGTCAGAAGACGGGAATCTGGACGATTTTTTTGCTAAAAAAGATAAAGTAAAGAAGAAATCGAACAAAACGAGGATCACGCCAGACGATATTGGGCAGATGTTAGAAAAAAAATTGGCGAAGGGGGCCAAGAAGGCAACTGGGGACAAGTCGAAACTGAAAAGTAACGCTAATTATCCGGATTCTCACGTACTGAACGTCAAAGTTGACGAAGTAATTTTTTTCTAAAATTTATTCTAGGTTTTGTTTTTAATTTTTATTCATTGCATTTTTTTTATTGAAATTGAATTGAAACATACGAAAATAAGTAAGTACCTGAGTAAGTAAGACCAGTGAATAATTTGATTTTGTGTTATAAAAAGTAAAAATGTAAGTACACTTTTCTCATCAATAGATTTTAGACTAGTGTATTTTTTAATTTATATAAAGGTAAATTAAAATTATCAATTAAACACACAGGATGATGGGGAATGGAAAGAGGTTGAGAAAGAAGAAGAAAAAGATTTTTCTAATTTAAAAATCCAAAGTCTCAACATAAGGTTTTTATTAAACTAACATATATAAAAAATATGTTTTATTAAATTGTTCATCGCTTTTAAACTAAATGCCTTTATATTTAATTTTAACTTTTACTAATAAAATGCACATTCTGTTAACCAAGAAATATAACAACAAATAGTGCAAAAGTGGATGCAGAGCAGGATTCGAATGGTACCGGCCAATCAGATGCTGAGGAAGGAAACGACAAGAAGGATGTTGTGCAAGGTCCCTGGAAGCCAATCCCTGCACCTGTCGTTCAACTCCAATGTGAACCGGGTATGATCTCTTCTCTTTCGTTTTTTCCATCTCTTTTCTCTTTCTCTATTCAACCTAATTATCGCTTTTAAATGAAAAAACTGCTTGAAAATATGTCTATAATTGCAACAAAATTCATGTTTATGGGTACAAAAATGTATTATATTTATCTTGCATTCATCATTAATCTTTTTAACATATCACCAGTAACACCAGTTGAAGAGCGACAGCCAAAAGAACCACCCCAACAACAACAGCCACCTGCATCTTCATCAACAACAGCAGCAGTAACATCGTCTTCTTCTTCTTCGACCTCATCTACAACCACATCAGTAACGCCCAAACAACCAGCCAAATATATTCCACCTGGTGCCAGACAACAGAATGGTTAGTCGATTTGATTTGTTGTCTTGAATGTTCATTGATTAGTTGGTTGACTGTTTTTGATCTACTAAAAACAACATAACAAACAAATTTTTTTTCATATTCAGCTTCTGCTGCAGCGCCATCTACAGTACCAGCAACAACAACTCTTTCAAATGGGGGTCCAGTGGCATCGGCATCATCGACTACTGTTAAGAAATCTGATGAGGAGCCGCTGAAACCTACAGGGAAATATGTTCCTCCTGCTGTCAGGCAAGCACAGTTAGCAGCAGCAGCTAAACAACAAGAACAACAAACATCATCGTCTTCCTCCTCAGCTACAACTACAGCTGCTACTGCTTCAGCAACTACATCAACAGCTGCTGCTGCTAAGCCGGCAGCTAAATACGTGCCACCATTTATGAGGCAAGGTGCTGGTGCATCACAGCAGTCGTCATCTTCATCATCACAGCAACGATCTTTGGCCCCAATGTCGTCAAAAAAGAAAAAGGCAGCACCCAATGTAAATAGTGTTGAAGACTTTCCTACACTTGAGTAAGTTCAATCTTTTAGTTTGCTGGTTTTCTTGATTGATTGAATGAATGATTGGTTGATTGATTTGTTAATTGAACAATTGTTTGACTGATTAGTTAATTGAACGATTTAATTGCTTGATTAATTGGTGACATTGAAATGGTTGGTTGGCTGGCAGCTTATATAAAGCTGAATTGATGATTTTAAAGTAAGTAATTTTTTATACAAGTTAATATCACCTAACTTACTAATTAACCAATTGAAATTTTTTTTAGACACAAACAAACAAACAAATAGCCATTCAAACATGCCACGAATTTGAAAAAGGTGAATATTCCGATGGTTGCAGCTCAAAAAAGGATGATGTTTGAAGAAGTTGAAATTCAAAGGTGGCATGAAGGGTTCCAAAAAACCTCCCTAGGAAATAATTATTTTTATTCAGTCAGCTTGAAATAACTAAAATTCAAGTTGACAGATTGATTCTACTTTATTATCTTATTCAAATTCGGTTTATTGTTTGCTCTCTCCATCCTATTTTTGTTGTTAAAATCCCGTCAATGAATTAATTACTATATCTTTAATTTATTATGTTAAAGAATTACTTTACGTGTGTATGTATGTGTGTATATATGTATATACGAAGCAGTGCATTATCAAATAAACTCTTCACATTGTTGTTATTATTCTCATTCTTCCGTATTCATAGTATGATTATAAAATGTACGCGTGTATATATATATATATATATATATATATATATATATATATATATGTATGTATGTATAATTGAAAGGGTTGATTTAATGTTTATTTATAAGTTAACGTTACCTCCATTATGTCCATACTTTGTTAGTATTTTTCCCCTTATGCACGTACAAATCACATATACAGAAAAGTGTACACATGAATACATAAATGTATACATACATATGTGTGTGTTTGTTTTGAAATGTTTGATTTTATTTAATTTCCTTGAAAGAATGTGCAGATATCACACATATATGTGTGTATATGTATGTATGTGTATGTGTGTGTGCGTACAAGTATATATAAGTACATATATGCCTGACCATTCAGCCACATACACAACGTATCTATTGGGATGTCGAACGTGGTATAGGTATACCGAAAATAGTCTTTGGTTCTATCATGCTTAAATGTTCTATCATGCTAAAAATAAATAGAAATTTTGGTTTTTAACTCAAGAAACTTGACTGATTTAAAATCTACCTTGAGAAAATTTAAACAAGAAGCTAACTAACGCGGAACATGCTGTGATTTTCATCGATAATCATCTCTGACGGTTTTAACTCAATGTATATGCGTATATATATATGTATACATGTGTGTGTGTATTTGTATGTGTAGTACGGAACATTTTACCGATCAATGAATGCGATCACAATTTAGAGGAGCTTTGTTTTTTCCATATTTGTAACTAAAAGTTTACCAGCTGAAAACTGTAAATTAACAGTAATAGAGAATAATAAAATGATAGTAGAATCAGCAGTACTTGTGCATACCGCCAGTAACGCAACGGCAGCAGTGTGATGTATGAGTGCATACATACTTATATACCCACATACAGAGTTATAGAATGGTACACAACAGAAATACCATTTTATTTCACCCAATTCAAATCATATTTAACTTGTACGAATGAGTATTAATTCACATATGTTTTGTATATTTATAAATAAACACGTAAGCATACAAAACACATACACATGCGTTACATCCATTTTTACACACATATACATATATTGTACACATATTTGTTGCTTTAATGAGCAGATCAATACGCCGACTTATACTGTAATGTGACATGTTAATAATAAAAAGCCCACACACACACACACACACACACACACACACACACACACACACACACACACACACACACACACACACACACACACACACACACACACACACACACACACACACACACACACACACACACACACACACACACACGTACAAATACAACGCTAAATTCAATAAGCTTCAAGAAAAATACAGAAAATTCTCATTACATCACATCACATCACATTAGCATGTTAACGTTTCGTTATGTTCTCTGTCCAAGTCAGTTAGAGTAAATATGTTTACTGAGTTTTTGAATTATAATATAACACATCAGTTTATAAGTACACATATAATTATATGACCGTACATAGTTAAATATTTTATTTACGTTTAAAATTATAAGCTAGATGTATAATAAACAAATAAATAAATAAATATGTATGTGCCAGCAAATCAGTACAAATAATAAATAATTAAGTTGCGTTTCATTTTAAAAATCATTAGAAATAATAACGATAATAATAACAGAATATTATTGATAAGAAGTACGTTAAAATTAATAATAAAAAAGAATAGGTTAGTGAATTGTGGTTGGCTGAATGGGCCGACCAATCAAACGCGTACCCTTGACTTTGAGTGCTTTATGAGCCACTGTAGCGTTATATCTGAGGATAAAAAAATGAAGCCAAATAAAAAATTATCTCATAATCCGTTGAAATTACTTCATTTTGTGATAACCATAAACACTAGTCACATCAGCCATAAGTAAGAATTTTGAATTTGACCGCTCATGAATTCAAGAGTTGGCCAATCACATAGAAGCAGATCAGAATCATCAGGTATGTTGAGCAATTATAAATAAGTAGGTTGAAAACTGACCTATGTTCTGCTGTTCCTTACATGATATGGAGTAGCAACACACTTCCCTGTCTTGAATACTGGAGAGGTTTCTGCAAAAATAAGGACAGTGAATGAAGATGGCAATGGAAGAATTTTAGATGGTGAGTATTAGTCATTATTAGGATGATGATTTATTAAAAACCACACACACGCACACACACGCAAAAACAAACAAACATACAGTTGATCAATGACTTCATTCTCGTCAAGAGCACCAGGAAGATCTCTCTTGTTGGCCAATACCAGAATGGGAATATTGGCAAGTTGGGGCTTGTCAAGCAAATTGTGAAGTTCATTTTTTGATGGTTCTAACTTTTCATGGTCTGCTGAGTCAACCATGTACCTAAGATTTAAATGACAAACGAATTGAGGTTTAATAAATAAATACATAAATGCAAGCAAGTTTTTTTTTAAATTTTGAAAAAAATTAACTAACATATTCTATGGAGAAAAAAAATTAAGCAGAATGTTACAATTACAAACTGTCACAAAAAAATCAACAGATATAACTAATTTTATCTATTTTATGTTGTCTCTATTTATAGAATATAAAATTTAGTAATTTCAATTGTTTTTATTCAATGAAAATTTATTAACTTGGGGTAACTATTCATAAAAAATATTAATTTTATGAAAATTTTTAAAAAAGCCGTAAAAAAGTCAGTGAAAAAAGTATGATGTTCAACATTTACTAACACGATAGCATTGACTCCTCTGCAGTACCTTTCCCACATACTTCGAAATCTTGGCTGGCCACCTATGTCCCAAACCTTTGTGATTCAGATTTTTAGATATTTACATAAATTAAATATAAAACCAATTATAAAATATATAAATTGAAAAATATATTGTAATTATACATGCTATTGAAAGATAATGGTAATTAAGTCATTAGATTGTTAGGTAATATAATGTATATACAAATGTAAAGAATATCCATAAAGATTATTAATGGAATTAATAAGTGAAAAAAACCAAATTTAGAAAAATTTAATTTTTTTACTTTAATGACAACATTCCCCTTGGTGACTTTCCGCATGTTGAATCCAACTGTGGGGATCATGTCTTCGCAAAACTTTCCAGACTGTGTTTGTGGTTCGTTTATAAAATATTAATTAATAATAAAACTTATTAAAAAAATACTATAAGTGTACTGTACTTACACTGCATAACAATATGTTAAGTATAGTATGTCACATGACTTTCAAATAAAAAGATATACATGTTTGATGTCTAAACTCTAAACTCAAACCTTGTCTAATAAAATTTTATGTAACTTTACTAAGTATTAAAAATGTCTTAAAAAGTGACACAGCTTTCAAATAAAATCGTATAACAACCATAAATATGTGATGACCAAGTACAGTGACATCAACCCAACAGCCTCTTCACTTTGCTTAGTAGTTTTTGCACTAGTTAGGCAGTTAACTAACTTCTAAAATATTGTCAAAAGTTACTCAAAATGAAAGATTTGAAATTCTTTTTCTTAAAATGATTTAAAAAACAAAAAACTCAAACTTCGACTAACCGAAATTACATTGACGAAAGTAGTCTTTCCGGAATATTGAAGTCCAATTAGTGTCAGCTCCATCTCCTCCTTCCAGAATAAACTTTTCACCCAATCAAGAAAGCGGTGCAGTAGTGCCAACATTTTTTCCGATTTATTATTTAATTTTTTCTACTAAATTTAATTATTTCAAAGATTTTTAAATGCAAAAATTGAACTCGCAACTTTCGGCAGTTGAAGAAGGTAAATTATAGCCAGCAGTCATGTGAGTTGAAAAGTAGGCGCATTTTGCATTTTTTCAGCTTCAAAACAATGTTTTCATGTGATATTCCAAGTAGATTTTGCTAAAATAGCGTTATTTAAATAATATAACTTTTTAAATTAAAAAATTATTTATTTGTTCGTACCGCGTTATCTGAATAATACCGTTTTTTTATAAGATTTATCCAAGTTTTTCAGTACTTAAATTTACTTTTGTTTTTTTTTTCAAATGTGTTTTTGTACAAAATGTAAACTTAAGTAAAATGTTTTAAAAATTGAATATGTGAATCGTTTAAAGGTTTTCAATGAATAATCTCAAATATTATTTGAAATTTCGATTTGAAATAGCGTTTTTATTATTTTTATTCATTGCATTTTTGTCATTCTATCAATTATTAAAAGTCACCAACTTTAGCATCTGGTTCTTCTCTCATCAAGATAGTAGGGATCTTCATCCTCTTGATGAGGAATTTGGCATCTCAGGTAAAAATGAATCATCTGCTGTCGGCGATCCGTATCATTATATTAAATTTGACAATTTCGGTTTCTATCCGGTAAACGATAAAGGAGTTTATTCATTTTGGAATGTGTGCATCGAATCGCTACCCACCCCTGTGACGCAGGAATACATGAGCAGTTTCAAACAGGTAATCAAGTACAATGAGACAAAGCGCATCGTCGTGTACAACAGTTTCTACAGAGAAGGCCAACAAGTTCTTCACGTTTCTGGCACTTCCAATGCAATGAGAAATGATTGGGATGTCACATTCAAAAGAGGTCCAATTCCAGGCATGTATCAGTTTAACAAGGGAACCGCCTTTTTTATTTCACCATCTTGCCCAAATAACTTTCATCATTTTTGGATCGATGAATTTGTTCCCCTTTTCACCATTATAAAACAGGCAAACAGACTTTTGAACATTTCATCAAACACTCTGTTCTACAGGCAACCAATGAATCTCACTGAACAGATCTCAAGGGAATGCAGCGACACCACAACTTTTGAATTATTCCTCAGCACTCTCTTCATAAAATTTCCACATGATGTTTTCTATGAAGCACTATCTGGGACGTGCTTTTCAAGCGGTGTTTTTGGACTGAACACGTATTACATGAAGAACCCTAGAGACATAATTAACCATGTACTGAAAGAACTGAAAAAGAAAGGTTTAAAAGTGAGCTCCAACATTAAAAATAAAACCTGCCAAATTCTTATGCTAGAGAGACAAACTAGGAGAATTATAAATTCTGATAAATTAGTGAATGTGGCGACATCATTAGGATACAGGGATGTGTGTAGAGTCAACTTTGAAGGACTCTCAATAGAGGAACAGGTATGACTATAAAACATTGGTTGCTTATCTACACTTGTAACTCTTATAATCTAATGAATGTTCAACAGCACATACACAAACATTTCTCTTATCTTACACAGATTCAGTGGTCAAGAAGCACAAAGATCATGGTGGGGGTCCAGGGAGCTGGACTGCAGTGGTCAATCTTTATGCCTCCTAACTCAAGCCTGATTGAAATTGCCTGGCCACAAAAACATTGGGGTTTTTATTTTGCAAACTACGTCAAACCTTATAAAATTCGCCATTTTAAAATCATAGCCCCACATGTTCAAGCAAATTGGTCAAGTTATGAGAGTAGAGTTAGGAACGGTGAACGAGTCAGTGTAGCTGAGAGGTTGAGATTAGTGAATGAACGATGGAAAGGAGATAACTTTGATAACCTATGGAAATGGGCGGATGTTTTTGTAGACGAGGGTGATTTTAGAGATGCGTTAATGAGTTTATATAATTAAATAAATCAACCAAGTTTCATTCATTTAGGCAGCAGAATCTGTAATACCTGAGTTGATTCTCGCGTATTTACGTATGCTGTGTGCGTGTTTCATGCTAGATAGCTACCTACCTACCTCTAATCAATAGTACAATTAGTGAGAAATTCGCACCAAGTTGAAACTACGAGATTATCTTGCCAGGTTTTACATCATTCCGTTCATTTAGTGCCGTCCTTGCAATACGTTATTTGATTTGCGCACTGCATAAACAGGCAGGAGATTGTTCATGTAATACAGAATTCTCTCGTTCATGTTTACATGTCTGTGCATTGAGCATTTAAAAATTCAATTAACTCTTTTTTGTGTATATATCTTCATTATGCGGGCATAGGACCATGTATAGAATGTTTCTTTCTAGCTGAATCATGAACAGATGAATGGATGGATGGCTGCACTGTGTTCATTTTTAAAGATAATGTTCAAACACTCGATTTCTAAATGGTAAACAAGCTTAACGAAAATTTCATTAATTAAATTATCGACAGATGAATCTTTAAAACGTAATACAAATCAATTTTGCATATTCAATGAGATAAAACGAGGCTACAACTGAAAAGTGGCACTAACAATAAAACATTAACGATCATAATAAATAAAATAACAAGACAAGCCCATTCAATATAACGCTGAATTGAAGTAATTCTAGATTAAATTCCTTCCCCAGCTCCTCTCCGTTCAATCATCAGTAACTTTTGCCAAACAACGTATAAAATTTAGGCTTGTTCTTGCAATCCGGCGCTATACAATGGTCGCCATCTTTAATAGGGATAACCTGATCGAAGGGTATGCATAACCCCTTGGCCCCCATCGCTGGCGCCCCCTCTTCCACTGATTCTCTGCGTTGACAAAAGTTGAGAAATCAGTGCTAAAAACATCAACGTTCGACAGCTAATAAATAAACAGAAGAATATTGTCCACAAGTTTCTAATTTTTATTCAAAATTACAAATTTATCAATTGATATATATTTGAAATTTTCAAGATTACCTAGCGCTTAATTTTTTAATCTTCTCCTCGCACGGTATGTCCCCACAGAACGGAGCCATGATTAATTTGTTCTTATCTAAATTCTGACAGAAATCCGTGAAGTTTGTGCACGTTGCCGTGTTCTTCTCTTTGTCTTTTTTGGCCCTAGGAAGGCGTTAAAATATTACATTTTCATATAATACTTTCAACAGTGCACGTTTATTTATCGTTGTAATATCACACTTTCGAACAATCATAATAACGTGAGGTAGTTGTAATTTGCAAATATGTAACTAAGATGATAAGTGCTATTATCAATACTGAAAATATATCAAGAAAATGAAAGTTGATAAATTATAAACTAAGAATTAGTGCAATCGTTGATCGAACCATATCAGTCAAAGACCAATCATCAATCAATCAACAAATAAAAATCAATCAACCAACTTTTCATAAAGGTTCTTATGAATACTTTCCAGAAGATTGTTGACAACTTCAACCACGTTGTCTAATTTATTTGTTGATTTTTCCCCAGTGTCCCTCCTGACGGCTACGAACTGATTGCTTTGAAGATCTTTCGGTCCTATCTCTATCCTGATAGGCACTCCCTGAATAAATTATCATTCACAGCCAATCACTAACACTCATCTTATTAACTACTTATCATAATTATCTAATAAATATTCATGAGGTATTCATTCGAAATTTCCAAGCTCCACTGACCTTCAACTCCCAATGGTTGAACTTCCAGCCAGGAGAATAATTATCTCTGATATCACAATTGACCCTGACATTCGACCCCAACAGCTGATCTGTGATTTTGCTACATTGGTTCAGTAGATTCTGACGATCTTTGTCCTCTAGTTGGGCTGTTATCCCACATGGCACGATGACTACCTGAAAATTTTTTCTCAAATATGAGCATGAAATCTCAACAGCAGCAGCAGTAGCAGCAGTAAAGGCAGCAACCACAACAACTACAACCACAATGCCACAATGACAGCACCGAAACAGTCGCAACAACATCACATCATCACCTGATAATGAGCAATTCTTGGAGGCAGGACCAACCCTTTGTCATCCCCATGCACCATTACGACGACACCAATCGATCTTGTAGTCAAACCCCATGAATTCTGATAGGCAAACTTTTTCTCGCGTGTCTCTGGGTCCTCGAAAGATATGTCGAACATTTTTGAAAAGTTCTGTCCCAAGTGGTGAGAGGTTGCTGCCTAAAATGAGTGAATAAGGGGTCCAACGATTAGAGAAATTAGAGATGTGTTAAATAGAAGAATCGATGAATTAATATTAGTATCAAAAAGCACAATGAACTCAGCCGTAACTCAAAAAAATTATTTCACGGGACGGAAATAAAAAAAACAGAATGTAGAAAAGCATAAGACCCCAGCAGAAACAAATCAAGTGCATTCTTATTTCCGAATCGCCTGACCGACAAAAAAAAATTTGACCTGAATCCCGCGGCCAGATGCAGATATGTAAGCCTCGATGGTGGTCGTGTAATCACCACCAGCGAATTTTTCTTTCTCGGTTTTTCTTCCTTTCGTTACGGGTACGGCTAAAAGTTCTTCGTAAATTTGAGCATACAAGTCAAGTATCTGATACACCTGTGTTGAGCGAGATGGATACGGATGAATGGATAGATGCGAGTTTGTTAACTCATTCATTTATTTATTCACTCATTCGTTCATTCATTCATTCCCTCACCTCTTCTTCGGCATCCTTCATGTTGGAGTGAGCAGAGTGACCTTCCTGCCAGAGGAACTCCCTGGTTCTCAGGAAAGGTTGCGGGTGTTTGAATTCCCACCTCTGAATTATTCGTCGTTGATTGGTTGGTCGGTTGATTCGTCGATAAGATGATTAGTCGATTAGATGATTGGTTGATAAGATGATTGGTCGATAAGATGATTGGTTGATTGATAAAATGATTGGTTAATAATTGATTAGTTGATTGGTTAATTAATTCATACACACAGGCACAGACACACACAAACAAATACACATAAAAACCCACCACAACATTGCACCATTGATTCAGCTTGATTGGTAGGTCTCTGTGTGATTGGACCCATTTAGCATAGGACGGGTACATGACCGTTTCACTGGTCGGTCGAATTGCTATTGGCTCCGCTAAATCAGTTTGGCCGGACTTTGTGACCCAAGCGACCTAATCAATAATTTAATTAATCAATCAATCAATCAATTAATCATTTAATTAATCAATCAATCATTTATCCATCCAATCTACTAAACCAATCAACCGATCAATCAATCGATCGATCAACCAATCAACCTCAGGGGCGAAATCAGCGATGTGTTCCTTCTCTGTCTCAAGAGCCCCATGAGAGACGAACATCGGAAAGTAGCAGTTTTCGAAACCTGATCAGTGAATTATTAGTGGATAGATAGAATGAATAAACTATCAAATGAATGAACATACAGAAAACATAATACAGACAAGTATACACACCTTCTTTTAAATTTAAATTACGGAAAAAAAACGCAAAGATACGCAAAGATTCAATAGTACCCTATAGGTTGACAAAGAAATTCTCTCTCTCTCTCTCTCTCTCTCTCTCTCTCTCTCTCTCTCTCTCTCTCTCTCTCTCTCTCTCTCTCTCTCTCTCTCTCTCTCTCTATTCATTCATTGCTCATTGCTGGAATAGAAAAAACTTCTTCTTTTTCACTCACTCGCATATAGTCTCAAGTAAAAAAATAAAAAATAAAAAAACATTTGACCCATTTCTTTGATCCTTTCATCGAACCACTGACTGATCCTCTCCCAGATGCCAAATGACCATGACCTCAAGACGTAACAACCGCTGACGTCATAGTACTCTATCAGTTCGGCCTTTGTTATCACCTAACGATAATGACGATGAAGATGATTAGGATGAAGAGGATGAGGATGAAGATGATGACGATGTTGTTGGTTGAAAATTGTTGTAAAGATGATAGTGGATGATGACAATGGTGATGTGATGATGACGACGATGATAGCAATGATAATAATAATGATAGTGATGGTGAATGTTACCTGGGAATACCATTCAGAAAAGTTTTCGTGCTTCCTTGCTTCCAAGCCCAACCTAAAAATCAATCAATCAATTAATCAATCAATTAACCAGCCAATCAATCAACAAATAATTCATTCAATTATTCAATCAAATAACCAGTCAACCAATTATTCAATCAATCAATCAACAAATTAACGAACAAATAAATAATTCAACCTAGAAATCAATTAAAAAAAACCGACTAATCAGCAAACATCTGACCTCGTAACTTTTTTCACTTCTCTAGAAGTTGTAGCTTCATCAACAGAAGATTCTTGTGGCTTCTGTGGTGGCTGCTTCTGCTTTTGTATGTCAGTTTTCTTCTCGGAAGTAGTAGCTGTAGCAGTAGCTGCAGCAGTTGAAGGAGCAGCCGTGGCAGTAGCTCCTGGTTTCCAATCCTCATTGGTTAGCTGTTTGTAATCAGCTTTCAATTGGAGAAGTTTTTTAACTTCCGTATCTATCTTGCTCTGGTTGATGAGGAAAATAAAAATTACAATAATAATAATTTTATAATATAAATATAATTAATTACTATAATATTCTTAGTGACAGTAATAATGATGATGATGATGATAAAAAATTTTCAACATATCAAACTGAAAATAACCTTTTCCGCTTTCTCAGATTTCAACCTCCTAACGAGATCACCTTGCTCTGATATCAACTTATCCAAGGATGTCGATGTACTTGCTGTGGTACCACTCCCTGGTTTAGCAGCTGTAGTATCAGCTACTTTAGCGGCTGCAGTAGCTGTAGCAGCGCCAGGTTTCCAATCTTGACCAGTGAGCTGCTTGTAGTCATCTTTCAGCGATAACAACTTCTTAACTTCTGCATCTATTTTCGTCTGATGTGGTGAATGGGTAGGTATTGTTTTAAAATGTTGGCTGAGAAATAAAAGAAAGAAAGAAAGAAAGAAAGAAAGATAAAGAGATAAAAAGAAAGAAAGAGAAAAGTGAAAGAAGAGATAAACGATTGAATAAATAAATTAACCTTTTCTACTTTCTCAGATTTCAACCTCCTAATTAGATCTCCTTGCTCTGTAACTAAATTATCCAAAGAAGATGACGAAGACGACAAAGTAGCAACTGCCGTTGCATCAACCGATTTAGTAGCAGCAACTGCAGTATCAGCTACTTTAGCAGAAGCGGTAGTTGCAGCAGCTGTAGCAGTGCCAGGTTTCCAATCTTGACCAGTGAGCTGCTTGTAGTCAGCTTTCAGCGATAATAACTTCTTAACTTCTGCATCTATTTTCGTCTGTTGTTGTACGAGATGTTGATGAAAATGTTAGAGAGAGGGAGAAGGGAGAGAAAGAGAGAATAAATAAATACAAAACAAACGAATGAACAATTAAACGAGTGAACGAAAAATTGAATATTGAATAAGAAATAGATCAATAAATTACTGAAACAAAAGAATTAACAAAACCTTTTCTGCCTTTTCAGATTTCAATTGTCTAACGAGATCCCCCTGAGTAGCAATTTCTTGATCCAGTGACGACGACGATGATGATGATGTATGTGGAACTGCTGATGATGATGATGATGCATGTGGGGCTGCAGTTGCTGGCGCCTGTTGTGGCTGTTGTTGCTTCTGCTGTTGCTGCTGCTTTTTAGATTCAGATTTCGAAGGCTGGAGTAGAAAATCGTAAAACAAATTAAAGGACAAATCATCAAAATTAAGAGTATTAATCACCATCGTCACCGTCACCATCATCATCAACAACAAAAACATCATTATCATAACCTCTTTCACAGTGGCAGCAGTGTCTTTACTGACAGTCTTATGTTTTGAGCCACTAGTCGGCATCTCTTTCGTGTGGCCGTCTGGCACGTTGAACAAGATACATGGGTTTTCCCTGCTTGAATACCTACTGTTTGTATGTATGTTTGTTTGAATGTTTGTATGCATGCATGCATGCATGTATGTATGTATGTATGTATGTATGCATGTATGTATGTATGCACGCATGTTCGTATGTATGTATACAAATTTTGTATGTATACATACTTGGCCGATTCATACGCTGAATCACAAATGAAAAACCCCCTCCTTTGCAGCTGTATTATTTCTCCTTTCTTTACACTGGCTAATTCCGGGTCGCCTAACATCTCAACTGTGACCTATTTACATAATTTTTTACTATAATTATCACCTAATTATGACCTATTTACATAACTTTTAATACTATTAGTATCATCGTTATTATTCCCGAGTTTCTAGCAGCCTGCTTACTTTTGAATGCCTATTGATGTACTGTTTAAAATCATCGTCCTTCGTTAGGACTGGCTTGGAGATAATGTGCTCGAAGAAGCAGCAGTTAACATTCACCAGAGGACACTCCTCGACGACTGCCAGCCACGTCAGTTTAGTTGTCTTCTTGTATTCCTGTTGTTCGTGTGTGTTTGTATGTCTGGTGTTTTTGTCGTGTTCGTGTGTGTGTAAGTGTGTTTGCAAGTGTGTGTATATGCATCTAGAATGTGTGTGGTGTGTGTGTGTATGTGTAAAGTTGAAACTTTTTTTTAGTTGAAAGTCAAAATGTTCCAATATACAAATGTTTAATTTAAGCAGTCAAAAATAAGAAAAAAAATCGACACCATTGCCACTCTCATCTTCATTATAACCTTATTTTCTAAATTTAGAATAGCAGAGATGGCCTTGACCTTTCCACTTTGACCTCTCTCTATCTTCTTAATGATAAGGTTACCCCAATTTATAAAGGTCACGACCTCATCGACGTGTAATTCCTCTGCATCGGCACCATCTATTAAAACTTTATCACTGTACCAAACTTTTTTCATGCCTATTTCTGGGTCCTGTGTGTAAATGTGCGCGTGTGTTTGCGTATGTGAATATGTGTGTGCATGTGAATGTGTGTGTGTGAATGTGTACGTGTGTGTGTACGTTTCAACAAATACGATATAGGCCAAATGAATGGATATAAGAACTGAATAAATGTACAGATAAACTGAACGAACAAACGAACGAACGAACGAATGAATAAATAGATGAATGGATTGAATTAATAAACAAATGAATGACCTTTGGATGTTTCTGAACCATTTTGAATTCTTTAACTGCACCATCCACCAAAACAGTGACGACGGAATCTTTCTGCAGTGCGGTATACCTCGGGGCTACTGGATCAATGACCTAGACGCGTAAATAATCAATAATTTTGAATAAATTATGTTAATGAGTCGACGACGTAATTGCATAATTAAAATTTAGGTGAATAAAACGAGAACGCATACGAAGCAGGACCTTCTTATTGAAAGCCCATATCTTGTCCCAATCCATAGTCGTAGTGGCTCTCGAGGAACCCTGGAATACAATAACAACTATAATAATAACAATAATAATAATAACAATAATAATATCATCATCATCATTATTATTCTTATTATTGCCATTCGACGAGGTGATACTATCGAAATACTGGAATTAACAGTTTGCCACGAATCTAACTTCTCTAAATCTAAGGAACATAAAACATCAAAATAGTTTCAAAATCTTATTAACAATTTGGATAGACGAATTGAAAAGCTCAAATATTATAATAAATTCATTTGAAATTTCCACGCAAAGTTTTTTAAAATATTTTAAACTATCATTAATTAATTTTATTCGGTCAGACACTTTTCATAGAAGTTTAATTAATTCCCTAGTATCGTCATCTTACGCAATTTACTGTGATAGGAACACGATTTGAACATAACTTAATGCTGATTCTATTTCTCTTTGTGCCCATTTAAACTGTACGGCGAGCATTGTAGAATATCTATATAACTTACATTAGAAGTTTTATTATTTCATCTTTTCTATTACAATGTATGTTTTAAAATGAAAACAAAAAGAGGTTCTCATTATTATTATTATAACTATTACGACCTGGGCAATTACAAATTCTTTCAATCCCTCCACTGTCATCCCCCTCCTCATCACCCCCCTCACCGTGGGGAATCTCGGGTCATCCCTGGTTATAATTATAATTATAATATTATTAATAATTATTAATAATTATCATAATTATTTTATTATGAAGAGTGTGACGGTGTTATGGTTGGAGGTGCTGCTGGTCGATTATGTGTGCTGCAGTTTCAGTTGCAATGGTTTGAATTTGAAGAGAGGTAAAAAATGAAAAATCTTGAGATGTGTTTAACCTAAAAAATTTTAAATATACTAAACACACACATACACACACAATAATATATAAAGGCTAAATATTCATAACTTGACCTACTTACCATCCTTCGACGAATCCCTCGTCGACGATCCAGGTCAACTTCCTTTTCGACATGACAGTGTTCTGTAAGTTAAGTCGGCTGTATTCCCATATGTAAGGTCTTCTCAGGCCTATGATGATGATGATTATTATGATCTTGTATAACTATCATCATCATCATCACATCATCATTATCATCATCAAAAACGACTAGAAGATCATAAAACTAACCAAGAGTTTTCAGGAACCAATAATATTGCTCGTCCCTATCGTGGTACTCCATAGTTCGGAGGGCGTGAGTCACACCCTCAATGCTATCCACAATTGGACAAGCGAAATCGTACGTGGGGTAAACCCTGGTTTTTGGTTTGGTTTCAGTTTCAATCTTGATTTAACTTTTACAAATTTTTCGGTCTTGCTATTCAGCCAAGTTTGAAAATGATTTCATCATTCAAACTAAATTAAATAGTGAAATATTTCACATTTCACACAATCGGTACGAACTTGTACTTATCTCCAGTTCGAACGTGTGTTTCAACCTTGCATCTGTACATAGTGGGATCTCTCAGGCACCCATTATCATTCTTCATATCGAGCTTAGCTCGAACGCAGCACTTCAGACCAGATTCAGAACCTTTCTGCATCTCATTCCACATTGAAAGGTTCTTTTCTACACCTTTTTGAATTGAAAGAGTTTTGTAAAAAAAAAAAAGTTATAAAATCACACATATAACCATTTGAAACAAATATACTCACTCACGTCCAAACACGCACACACACACACACACACACACAAACACACAAACACACAATTGAGACATTCACTAAACTATTATTTCTATTTTTAGATTCTACCCTCTCTTCTCTCTCCTTCTTCATAACTTCTGGATCAGTGTCATCGACGTAGGCGTCGCCATTTTTGATCATCAGAGTGCAGAAGTCGAGGATTCTGTCGAAGTGGTCCGAAGTGAAGGTGAAGATGTCAGGAGTGATGCCTAACATCTTCACGTCGTCCAGGATCACCTGATCAAGGAGAGAAAGGTGGGGAATGCGAAAAGTTGATTTTGTTATCAAACTGGCCATCTATTCAGTCATCAATCAATCAATCAATCAATCAATCAATCAATCAATCAATCAATCAATCAATCAATCAATCAATCAATCAATCAATCAATCAGCCAGCTTAAAACCAACCAACCAACCAATCAACCAACCAATCAACCATCAATCATCCAGCCTACTAAACAACCAACCAATCAATCGATTGATCAGCCAGCCAACAACAGACAACCACCAACCCTCTCAAATTCGGCATTCTCTTTTTCAGGGTTGGTGTCATCGAATCTCATGATCAGCTTTCCTTTAAAGGCCTGTTGGTAGTACTGATTCAGCAGGGCTGCCTTTGCATGTCCGATATGAAGGTACCTGTTATCCATTGTTTTTTTACATGGAGTTGAGAAATTTGTTCATCGTCATTTCAACGCATGGACAAACAAAGACAGAAGCACACACGCGCAAAACACAAACATATCATCGTAATCTGATACACACAAATGTAAACACACACACACACACACAGAAAGAGAGAGAGAAAAAAAACGAATGAGTGAATGAATGAAGAAATGAATGAAAAAGAATAAAGTTCCTAACCCACTAGCTTCTGGAGGAAACCTAACAACTAATTTTCCCATCTCTGCTTCAGGCAAGTCAATGAACTTTCCTTCCTCCTTTCGCTCCTTTCTCACTGATTTCTTGAAAAAAAAATTTTTTTTAAATATTTAGAAATTATTAAAATCGTCAACCAATCAATCAATCAATCAATCAATCAATCAATCAATCAATCAATCAATCAATAAATCAATCAATCAATCAATCAATCAATCAATCAATCAATCAATCAATTAATCAATCAATCAATCAATCAATTCATTATTCACTCACCCAATCACTCATCTCATTAAATTCAACCAACCAGCCAACCAATCAGTCAGCCAAACTAATAACCAGCCACCAACATATTGAATTTAAAAAATTATGTTCACTTTTAAACATGTGCAAATTTCATAGGAAGTTATTTTACAGCTGTTACAAACTCTTTCAGGGTAGATAAACCAACCAACCAACCACTCACTCAATCAAACTACCAATTAGCCAGCCAAAAAGTTCCATATAATAATTTTCATTTCCTAACCTGTGCAGCACTAGAAGGGAGTAGCTTTGCAACTGTTTCAAATTCTTTCAGTGTTGAGAGATAGTTGAAATATCTACACAAGTGCTTAGCAGAATTTTTATCCAGTATCTCAAAACTTGATGATTCTAAATATTAATTTTTAAGAAAAATAATTGAAACAAAATTATAAAACAATCCATCAACAGAGAACTTCATCATTCTTTCATCACCTACACACATACACAAATGAGAAATTATAAAGAAAAGCAACCTTAACCCAACCCTAACCTTTAAGAGCTGCCCACACAAAAATATCAGCCAATGAGATTGCATCCCCAACCAGGTAGGTGGAGCTAGCAAGTATGTAATCAAGGTACTTTATAGATTCTTGCATGTGATTGGCTGATGGTAAAGTCAGTGTTGAAAATTCCAACCAATGGTCAACCTGGCATGAGAGAGACAGTTATGAATAAATCCATCCATCCATCATCTTCAAATGTCATCACATCATCAACAATAACATTATAGTCATCATCATCATCATCATCATCAATGCTATATAAATCACCATCATCATTTTAAAAATATAAACTTCCCAACCTGTGCTTTTTCAATGGATGTCTTGCCGTATAGGTTCAATTCAGAAACCTCTCTTGATAGGAATCGACATATCGAAGAGACATTTGTCAAGGAGATATTTCTGAAGTTTTGAAGAAGAAAAGATTTGCATTACAAATTTTAATATGGTAATTAATAAATAGTTATTATTAATTATTAACTAAATCATGAGCTTGATTTTTTCATTGTTGTTAGAAAGATCAACTGATCAACTTTATGAAATTTCCATAAAATTTTCTAGAGAATTTCAAAAACATTGCATCATTTATTACAAATAAAACATTGCAACAGCTTAGAATAGAGTGTTCTAATGTAAGATCACCAAAATAAAAAAAAAAGAACCAAATGATACGGATATAAAATAAAAATTATTATGATGCAACATTATGATGAAATTTAAAAAAGAAAGACAGACCCAGGTAAAACAAGCTCATTGTGGTCCAAGTTTTGAATAGCCAGAAAAGCCATTTTAGGTTTCACATACTCAATCGTCAATAACAAAGCTGTAAAACCAAACGATTTTTGATTGAATAAAATTTAAAAAAAAACTAACATGATTGACACAGAAGATGAATGGGATGAAAACAAAATTGTGGATGAAAAAGATGGTAGAAAGGAAAATTATCCATTAAAGCTAACCGGCCGGCGGACTCTCTGAGTTGATCCTTAAGTTGAATTTACTTTTTGTCATCTTCAGTTTTTAAAAAAATTTCCTAATTGAAGAAGAAACGAATGTTAGACTGGCTATCGTCCTCGTGTACACAAGCCAGGAGATCGATTAAAAGTGAACGTCTGTTTCAAAATATTTGTTGATAATCATCTGGGGTTGAACAAAAATTTAAAACTGCCGTTGATCACATTACAATAAAAGTATAGAGTCAAAATAATTTATAATTAAAATATTTATTAATAAATTATACAGTTGTAAATTAAGAATATTTTGTTTTATATTCTTTATTCAATCAACCAAAGTACCTAATAGATTAGCCACAATTCTGTTATCTATAGTTGTTTACATAACGATAATATATATATATTGTGTATATTTTGTGTGTAACGTCGCTGGCACATAGTTTAATAAATTTCGTTTTATTAAGAAATTTTGAAAGTCTGTTTTACAAATAATTTTAAAGTTAGTATTTTGTTTAAATTTTGCAATGTTATTTCATTACAAAATCATTATTCTTTATTTTATTTTATTAATTTTCATTCAAAAAATGAAAATGCAAGAAATTCAAGCAAAAATTAAAATACAGTATTTTTAATAAATAATTATTAATTGACAATTAATTGAAATTTTAAATAAAACTCAAAACACGCAAACAGAAGTTAAAAATAAAAATTAATAACTAGTAGTTGTAAATAAATAAAAATCGTTATAAAAACATGAACAATTTTTTATTTCTGGTTCCCTTTAAAAAATTTATTGTTATTGCTACCATCATTATCATGATAATTTAGTGCTTCATCCGTGTAGCTGACAGCTGGAATCTGGCAGTGTACATTTGGTGATCTCAGACGACAACTTGTCGTTGTCGAGTACTGAGTCCTACTTTTGGTGAATGCCAGCAGCCAATTCTCTGCCTTCCTTATTTCCATCTAAATTCATTTTTTGATACTCGTTTATTATGCTTATTCTATGTATTAATTAATATTCTAATCAACTTTTTTTAATTATCAAAGGTTAATCATGGCAGAAACAAATGTAGAAATCAATGCTGGTGATTGTTCAGTTGATGATAAAGTGATGATAAAGAATGATACGAAGACAGATGATGCAAATAGAAATGGAATAAGTAATAGTGATAACATTACAGATTCATTCAAAGTTCCAGAACAAATAGCAATTTCTTCATTTGGGTTCAAAAAATCATCTCAAGCCATTAAATCAAACTCATGCAAGATTCTTGAAGAGGAAGCTGATAAAGTTAAAAAGCCCAAGCCATTAGAAAAAAATGGTGAGAGTGATAAAAATCTTAGCGACTCTGAAAATTTTAAGAAGAAAGTTGAATGTTCCTCCTCAAGACAAGCTAAATTAACAGTTAACCTGCCATACAAGGAGCCTAGCTGGGGAGGATGTGATGAGAAATCCAATCAGTACAAACTTGAAGTTATAAAGCAGGGAACTGTCATCGAAAATATTTCCCTAACTGACAAATCACTAATCGTGTTTGGCCGCCTACCGAGTTGTGATGTACCTATGGACCATCCATCGATATCGAGACATCATGCGGTACTTCAATACAGAGTAAACAGGGAGGACAAAGATATTAACGACGACGACGAGAATGAAAAAATTAAAGTAATGAAAAATGAAGAAGAAAGTGCAAAGAATGAGGAATCAAGTGCTGACAAGAACGAGAAGGAAGATGGTTGGTACATTTACGATCTGGACAGCACACATGGCACCTGGGTCAACAAATACCGACTTCCCCCTCATAAATACATCCGAATCAGGGTTGGACATGTTTTGAAATTCGGCGGCAGTACCCGTTTGTACATCGTTCACGGACCCGATACCGACAAAGAATCCGAGTCAGAGCTCAATGTCACCGAACTGCGGAAATTGAAACGCGAAACCGAAATGGCAAGAATGTTGGAAGAGGCAGATCAAGAAACGAAACGAGTTGAGAAGGAACGTCTGGAACGGTTGCGTGAAGAAAACCGTGGGTGCTCGTGGGGCATGGAGGAGGATGATGAAGTTGTGGAGGACAGCGAAGATAACGATCCTAATGCCGTCAATCCTTTTGCAGAGCTTACAGACGAATCTCTCTACATCGAAAACCCAAAGAAAGCAATCAAAGGTTTCTACGAGCGCGAAGATTTAGAGGAACCCGAGTACGAATTCATCGATGATGATACTTTATTCATCGGTGCAGGATTCAAGAGGAGATGCCGTCTAAAACTTCCCATCGATGGTCCCAACGGAGAACCCCTATACGCTGAGGTTGCCGTGTCAGGAAAGAAAAGAGAGGCTGTGATTGCGTGCGCTCTAGAAGCCTGTAGAATCCTCGATAGACACGGCGTTCTCAGACAATCGCATCACGAATCAAGGGCGAAAAAACGGCGAAAGAACTGGGCGGAAGAAGATTATTACGACAGCGACGATGACACGTACCTGGACAGGACAGGCGATGTTGAGAAGAAGAGGCAGTACAGGATGCAGAAAGTAGAGAAGGTCAACCTCGGCAGCAAAGTTGAAACTTATGACTCTCTGAAGGAGAAGTTTGATAAAGTTTCAGAAGAAATTAACGAATTAGAAGAAAAACTTGCAAAGGACGAGGAGTTGAAATCAAAATCACTGAAAGAGAAAAAAGAAGACGATGACGAAGAGGAAGTTGATGTGTTAGATGCTTTCATGAAGTCTATAAAATCAGGTGGGTTGGATGTGAGGACGAAGATGGAGATGAAAAGAAAGTTGCTGGAGTTGAAACATCAGAAGATGAGACTGCAGTCTCTGGTGGCCCTCAGCAAACCATGCGACATTAAAATTATTCCTAATCTGAGGACTTCGACCAATCTGTTTGGCAAGAAACAAAATTTTAGTAAGCTGGTGAGGCCGATGCGTGAAGTTGCTAATAATCAGAAAAACAACGATAAAAATGAAGAGGAGGAGGAAGAAGAAGATGATGAAGGTGTAGAGAGAGAGAAAGCCAAAAATGTTGTTACGGAAGTTGATGATGATAACAATGAAGCGAATAAGAACAAAATTAATGAAATACATCGGCAAGGTGGCAACGAAAGAGAGATAATTTCACAGAATCCAGCACCAAATTTAAGTAACAGCAGTGGCGATAACAGTACGAAAAATGTCTCAAAAACTAAACGAAAAACATCATCGTCGTCGCAGTTGTCAGTTTCTTCAGTGGCCAAAAAATTGAAAGAAGAGAGTCTGAGTGCACTTCCTGCTGAAGATGGACTGGACTATTCGACGTGGATGCCACCTAGCGATCAAGCCGGAGACGGCCGGACGAAATTAAATGAAAAATATGGCTATTGAATGAGAGACATTGAGGGAGACTGATAAAAAGAGACTTCTTCTGACTAACTATGTGTGCATAATACAGGCACGAATCTAAGAATTTGTTAAATAGACGATACGATGTGAATTTTTCATAAACAATGCTTCTAACGAAAGAAGTTCTGGTGTCACGAACGGATTTAATACATTTACAACATTTAGTTTTTTTTGTTACTTTATAATTTTGTTTCAATTCTTTTATATTAAAACATGTTGACTGTGGAAACTCGTGCTTGTTGTTGTGCATTTCATGCACACATAAACTTGAAATATTTTACATGTAGTAAATAAAAGCAATGATTTGGTATGAATATCAATCATAATGATATGTTCTGGATTTTGCTCTTCCAATGAAGACAACAACGATGATGATGTGCTAATCACAAATATGCCTATAAGTTAAGTAGTGCCTTATTTTTCGTGTGATCTGCCTGTTCGTCAAATGTTGAGACGAGAGGCGCTTTTGAACAATGAAGTAAGAGCACTATATAAATCATATAAGTTGATTGACAGATTGATTGATTAATTGATTGATTGATTGATTGATTGATTGATTGATTGAAGGTAACAAGAAGAGAAAAGTAAAAAACGGCCAGCAACGAAGCAGCAACAACTCGAAACAAACATTTTTAACGTCGATCTTCCTCGAGAAATGTTTGATCTGCCTTTCCAGAGGTTGGAGATTCTCAATGAACTTGGCATACTCAATGACTTCTGGCACTGAGTAGGCGTTTATGTACTGCTGAATGTTCTTATTCTGCTTTTTTATTTTGACAAGGCTCTGGGTAGTTTTTAAATTTTAGTTTAAACTTTGAAAGAAAATTCATTTAAGTGACTACTATTTCTCGGTTTATTTGAATAACCTTTTGAATAAATTTGATTTCAGAGACAGATTTGTCAGCTTGATCATTAGCCATTGTTATTTTTGATTCGACCATACAGCTAAGTTTTTCAGCTTCGGCTAGATTCGTTTTCAGCCTATTTAGTTTCAAACGCATCTTTCCTGCTGTTACCTACGGTTTTAAATATCCGGGCATTTATAAAATACGGCCCGCTGGTACTTATTCAGTGGTGTTAATGTATATATATTTATACATTTATATAGACGAGTTATTTTAATGAGTTTGGAACTCCTTCACAGTATTTGTAATTGTCATTTCATATTGTCACCTTTAATACGAGCAAGTTTTCGTTCCCTTCCTTAATTTTTCTGTTCAAAACTTGATTCCTTATCTTCAGAAGGTGAATGTCATTTTCGCTAAGAATCTCATTGGTTTCCTCCGCCTAATTTTGAAATTACACTTAATAATTGTTATAATAATGATTATAATAATAATTATTATTATAATTTATAATATAATCTACTTGGTTCGTTAGGGACTGCATTTTGGCCAAGTGCAACTTTAAGGCGACTTTTTTGAGTCTCAATTTTAGTATGCTCGTATCCTGTGATTATATTTAATAATTATAAATTATTATTATTTCATTGATTATTTGGTTGGTTGATCAATCGATTGGGTGATTGATTGATTAACAATTACCAAGTGATTAAGTTACAGGAAAAAAATCATTAATAATTTTTAAACATCAAACCTTCCAAAAAATCACCCAAAGATAATGAATTGATGAATACCAATTTGTGTACTTCTTCCTGCCAAAATTTCAAAACGTTTGATCCGGATTTGGCTTTGACAGTTCCGGCGACGTTAGTGCTGCTATCAAAAAGTTCATCAAATGCCTGCTTTTTTTCCTTCAGACTGGCCAATTGTCTGGTTAGGTCAATGACCCCGAACTATATATAAATAATCCATCCATCAATCAGTCAACTACAAACCAACAAACAAATATAAACACGAACGAATAATTACAAATTAAACCGAATATAAGAAGAAGTATGAATGAATGAAAATGAATAAACAATAAAAACAAACTTGAGTAAAATCTAATAATCCAATTTAATTTGAATAGTAAATGCGAATGAATAACACGATAAACTCGAGTAAATACGAATACCGACACTAGTCTTTTTGATATCTTTTTTCATCCTGGCAGTTTCCTTTAGGATCATATCTTTTAATTCGTTCAACTCGGTATCGACAGCCTCGATTTTGTTCGTAAGGTTGAGCGTTTTCATACCGTCAAAGCCATGCACATTTTGTAGTTTATTTATTGTCGTTCTTTTTGACCATAGCTATATGCGTTTGTATGTGTGTATTTGTGCGTGTGTTTTACTTACTAAAAAACACAACTACTTACCGGCGTCTTGACCATTGTAATGGCCTCCGGTCTGAAGAAATGTGCATTAAACACCTGCCTACCCAACTGGCGGTCCTGGTAATTTAGTAACATCTCGCTCTCCATTATTACTATTGACGTTAATTCTCTGGGGACGCGTTAATGATTATGATGATTGAGTTATGGCGATTATGATAAAATGAAGTGCTGATGTGATAGTTAAATTGATTATGTCACTAATAAAAATATAATTAATAATAATGATGGTAATTATGACGATGTTGATGAAGACGTCATTGCTATTATTATTATTATCTAGCTACTTGAGTTCAGTGGTCATTTTGATGATTTCATCATCGCTGTATGAATCTAACTGGGTCCTTCGTGATGATGAGACCTGCGTCTTTTGTGTATGTTTAAAAACTTTTGAATGACTGCTTAATAATCGAGTGAATGGACTAATTAATGAATGAATGAGTGAAAAGTAATCTAAAGTTTACAAACTTGTGAAATTTCCTCTTCTTCATCCTCATCTTCATCCTCGTCAGATGATTTTTTCTTACCAGAAAGCGAATCTACGGATAGAAAATCTTGCCAATTTGGCGAAAAATTTTCATCCGACAATTTTTCAGAATCGACAAATCCATCGCCATCTTCATCTTCTTCCTCACCATCTTCTTCTTTCTCTTCATTCATATCTTCATAATCAGCCTTTCTTATCCTAACTAAGCCACGAGAGCTATGTTTGACGAAGCCTGCTAATTTTAATCTACTGTAACTGGACGCTTGGCTTCTCACTGATTTCGCTTCTTCGGCTTCGTATTCCTCACCGTAATAACTTTTAATGAGTTCTTCATTTAAATAATCACCTCCCTCGAGATAACGCGAGGTAAAATCGTTGCTATCTTCATCACGTTCACCATCACTCTCACCATACAACTCATCGTCAAGAACATCATCCTCATCATCTTTTTCTTCTTCCTCTTCCTCACCACCACGTCTTTTTTTCATGCGACCTCTCATCTGCGCTGGCAAATCATTCTGATTCTTCAGCATACTTTTTCTAGCCTGAGCTTCTAAATATCTATTAACACGACTGTCGGAACTTTTCTTGCGTCTGACACGTTCTGCGCTCGATCCAAACTTCTGATTTGCCGCAGGCCGTTCGACATCGTGCCAGTATGACGATTTTAGAGTTGTTTTTCGAGATAATTGCAATTGATAAACCTCTTCACTCTGTCTTCTCGAATCATTTCCGAAACTTTTCTTTGCAATGTTCTTTTCAGTGTTCTTTTTAAAAAAGAACGGCGTATTTTCGGCGTTTGGGAAACTTTCTTGATTTTGGAAATGTAAGGACGTCGCAGGCCTAGATATAGATTCATGCATTGATGTCAAGTTGCTCAACAATCTCATCGTTGTCCTCATCTGATTCTCCAAGAGACTTTCGGCTTCTGAAAATCGCTTTCTTTGTGAATCTTGCTGCTGCAGAAGTTGTGGATTTTGAGATGAACGATTTTGGCCTGAAAATGCCGGCTGGAGAGGTTGCGTAAATTTCGCCAAATTTTTATTCGGCTTCGTCATTTTCGCTCGCGGCATCGTTTTTAGTTTCCTACATTTTTTGATTAATTTAGTTAACAAACATTATAGTTCTGTTTAATTAATAAAATATATTTACTCACTTTCTTGGCGTTCGAAAGATTTCAACGAAGGGCTGGCTATATCAGCGAAACACGTTTTGTCATAGACGGTAAATAAGAGGTTAACTATATACTATAACTATAGGTATGCCCACACAAACGGTTTAACGTGTAAACAAATTAGAACGTCGATAACGAGGCAAGGAAATAATAATAAAAACACGAAGAATATCAATAATAACGGAGGAAATATTTACCAGTTACCATACATTTACCAGTTTAAGCAATGCCTCAGGTTAATTAAAAAATTTCATTTTTAAAACTTACAATGAATGGAAGAAAAAATTCAGAATGAATACTTAAAATTACCATCGTCTGCATCATCACCACCATAACAACCACTATCATCTCCATCATCATCATCATTATCATCACAACCACTATCTTCATCATCATCATCATCATTAGCTTCTTCACCATCGCTATCATCATCAGTACAACTCCCACAGCTTTTCCAGGCCATCCATCCGATCGGGCGCCGACAGCATAGAAACGTCGGCATCACTATCAGCAACAGCCCACAGGAACAAATCATCATCATCACCACCAACATCATCATCATCATCATCATCGTTGACATCATCGTCGTTGACATCAATGGCATCATCATCGTCTTTATCAGGCCTCATCATTAGATTTGCCTCTTCATCATAATCGTCTGCAGCTTCGTAACCGTGGCCGCTATGATGATGACGACGATGTTTGTAGTGGTGGTGTATGGTGACGCCGAGCTTATTATTATTATTGTTGTTGTTGTTGCCGCTGTTGCTTTTGTTATTGCTGTTTTTCAAAGTCCCACCTCCAGTATATTCTCGTAAATTTACCTGGATTATTTGACGAATGAACGAATCAATCGAATAATTCAATTTATTTCACCGTCAACCAGCTAATCATAACTCAACCTTCAGTTAATTTATTCATCCATTCGCCCAATCAAAGTTCAGAAACTCAACTTCCAAATTTAAACTCTACCATTCAACCAATCACAACTCAGCCAATAAAATAAATCACACTTTTAACTAATCAAAATCCATCCCCGCCAATCAGGGCAACACGCACAATCCAGGTCTACCAATCAAATTCACCTTTGTGGAGTACTTATAATACAGATCAACGGCGTCCTTGATCTTCTTAGCCCCAGCCCCACTACGCCCACCCAAGTTGTTGCCCTGACCTCCAAGAGACACCACCAGCCCACTTAACGCGCCTGAATTATCATTTTCTTTAGCCGCTCGCCTTCGCTGGTTTCTGTCTACACAATATGGCCGACATCTGAGATGAATAACGATAAATATAATTATAAATATAATTATAAATATAATTATAAACTCTTTTATTTCAATCAAAGTCAATCTAATGAATGGAAGAAAATAGAATAATTAAAATATATACTAATGTAATAATATTCAATAAAACCACAATGCTCATTATCTATAATAATGAATATAATTATGAGATTTATAATAATAATCAATGATAATAATAACCTTTCAATCTGTATGACGACCAGGCGGTAGGTCAGTAGCATGCAAACCAATGTATTCTTGCAGGTGAAGAACATGTTTGTATAGCTGACGACATCGTATTGGAAGATCAAAAGTAATCTGTTCAGAGTAGTAATCAGTATCTATCTCTCTCTCTCTCTCTCTCTCTCTATATATATATATATATATATATATATATATATATATCAATATTATTACTCATACTACTGCTACTACAGCTGCTGCTAGTGCTGCCACTTCTACTGCTGCAACTGCCACCACTACTTATAACAACATTAATAACAAAAGCGACACCCACGACCTGAGAACCAAAAATGGCGCATCCTGAAGAAACATAGATATAACAATCCCAAACACTTCCGGTGTGAAGCACGGTTCCAACTTAACTGGCGGTGGCAAACTTGGAGACTTTGAAGCCATTTGACCAAATCTCAGTGGGCCCTTTAGTACGGTTTTACCTAAACTTATTGGCGGTACTAGAAGATTTCTGCGTGGTAGCATTATTGGACGTCTTTGTTGTTGTGGGGAATTTTGTTGTGGTTGTAGTGAGTTTTGTTGTTGTTGTGGTTGTAGATTTTGTTGAGACCTTTTGAAATCTTGTTGAGATTGTTTTTGCAGCGTTTGAGATTGTTGTTGTTTTTGTTGTTGCAATGATGCTAATGAAGCTGATGATATTGAACGTTTTAGTTGTTGTGATTTTAGTTTTCGTTTTAATGATGGTGTTGTAACGAGTTGTTGTTGTTGTGGTGGTGAATTGTCAAGTTTTGTTGACTGGTCTGATGATGGTGAAGACGATGATGACGAAGAATGTATTGCTGGTTGTTCTAACTGTAAAAATTGTTGTTGATGATGATGTTGTTGTTGTTGTTGAACCTCATCATCATCACAACCGTTTGCAACGTTTTTATCATTATTATTGCTGTTGTTTTTGTGGTCAACTTCATCACTGTTCATTTTATCATCGTGTTCGTCAACAACTATGTATTGCGGAATTTGTTGTTGTTGTTGATGATTTTGTTGTTGTTGTTCGTGTTGATTAGTATTCACCGTTGCAGTTGTCGTTGTTGTTTGAAATCGTTGTTGCGTGCGTGGTGTGAGTGGAGAGGCTTTCGATGGATTCTGCCGAAACGTGGAGAACAAGCCTGGTGTTCCGGAATAATAATAATATAACAACAATAATAATAATAATAATAAGAAGAAGAAGAAGAAGAGGAGGAAGAATAGAAAGAAAATGAAGAGAAAGAAAAAGTAGAAAAAAATCAACATTATAATCATTAAGACAAACAATATCAATCGTCTTATCATCAATGAATGAATGAATGAAAGAATGAATGAATAAAAGAATGAGTGAAAGAACGAATGATTAAAAAATGACAACCTTGTTGAATGGACAGCAGAGATGGAGGTGCAACATCCTTAGGTTTTTTGGTAGCCGTGAGAACCATTGTAAACTGCAACAAACTCCAGGACCATATTGACAGAATAACTATACATAGCGGTCTATTGAATCGAACCTGTTCAATCAATTGATTGATTGGTTAGTTGGTTGACTGAGTGGTTGGTTGATTTGTTAACTGATTGGATAGTTAATCAACTGAATATCGGTTGATTGGTTGATTAGATGGCTGGCCAATCATCTAGATGGTTGTTTCGTTATTTGATTGGCTGGTTGTTTGGCCTATTGGCTAGTTGACCAGTTAATTAATGACAACGAAAAGAACAATCACAAACAATGAACAAATTAACGCTAATAACAACAAAAACAATAATAATAATAATAAGAAGAATGAGAAGAATAGCAATAACAATAACCGCATCTTCTTTGAAGGCATCGAAAAATTCGACAATATCAGCAGCAGTGGCGATATAGACCAGCAACAATTCACTCAATTGATCGTGCGTCAGCTGGCCTTTTGGCAAAATCCACCTAGGTATTTCGAAGGCATGCACACGTGCTTGATTAATTAAATTCAAAGCTTGAGAGATGAATGTGTCGGGTGTTTTTATATGATTGAGTTCTTTGGGAGGAAACGATTCACAACGATCCTACATATGTCTGTCTGCAAGTCCGCACGCATGCACACACGCACACACATACACACCTTCCAAGAATGAGAAATAATAGTAATAGCTGTTCCAACATTCTAACAACTTGTTCGGATGTTAAGTCAAATTTTATCGGGATTTTCTGGTAACATCGATGATGATGATGGTTACAATGATGACGATGATAAAAAGTATGATGATGACGATTAAGGTGATTGTAAAGAGATCAACAAAGTGATGATGTTGGTAATGATTAATGATGTGGTTAAAATCATAGTAGCAATACTTATGAACTAATCAATCAATCAACTATTCTATCAATGTATCTATCAATGTTTCTATCTCTCTGTCTATCTATCCATCCATCCATTCATTCATCCATTCATCTATCCATCCATCCATCCATCCATCTATCAATCTATCAACCAGTCCAATCAACGAATCAACCCCCAAAGACACTGACAATCTTATCAAGCAGATCGGCAATCTGTTCGTCGTCACTGACGTTATGAAAAACATTGGTAGAGTTCTGCCTAATCAACTCCTCCATAATTCTCTCTTCGAGTTCGTGCAGTTCTAACAACCATATGGGCGGCACTACGGACAGTAAGTAGAATAAAACGCTGGGACAAAACCTTTCAAATATGATCAATCAATCAATCAATCAATCATTCATTCATTCAAACAGTCCATCTCAACCAATCGATCAATCAGTCGATAAACGAACCTATCAATCAAATTTGTATAGCTGAATGAAAAATACTTAAGAAACAAATTCGAAAGAAGCAAAAAAATAACTTCCAACCATTTCCATTCTTGGCCTTTCCTGACGTATATAGTAAAGCCGGTCTCTAGCAGGAGACCTGTTAGAGATGTGGTGGCGTACCAGTGATTCGGATCCTCACTGACAACGGTTAGGAGGTAGATGGTTAGGAAACCGTGAAATGCGAATAGTATTCGTACGACTAGAGCCCGACTGATTATGAACCAACCCATCACTGATTTTGCTGTGAAGGTATGTATGTATGTACGTACGTGTATGCAAGCGTATCTATGTACGTATGTATGTATGCGTATGTATGTGTGTGTATAACAATTGTTATCACAAAACATGAATAAATAATGAATGGATTAGGATGCTTGATTGGTCAAGGACAGGATGCTGTCGACCAATCAATTTCCTTTATTCCTACATACATACATACGTACATACATACACATACATACAAACTTCCATACATGTATACACACACACACACACACATATATATATATATATATTATTCATAATTATTTATTATCCTGCTGGCGATGAAGTTAGCTAACATAAATATCTAATATATACTTCCTGTGTTGCCATATTACTACTACACTGCTACTACTACTACCTCTACAGCTAGTTTTCTACTAACACCAATACTAATCATAATACTACTACCATATACTACTATTACAAATAGTAAGAACATTCACATATTACAAGTGTGTATAAAAAGTTTTTCAATCAATCAACGAATAATCAATTTATTAATAATTAATTAATCAATTAATTAATTACTTTTGAAACAATAGCCTCTGTACATTAAATGATTTGATGCTTCAGAACACTAGCTAGAAATAACTAATGTTGGAAAAATTGCATTGATTACAGCATAGATTAATAACATTTGAAATTGGAAACAACGTAACAACAATTAAGTACAGAGTGCTGAATACAAATACTGAACAGGATTTTGTATAGATAAATAGCATTGACGAAAAATAGGATGGAGAGGCCAAATGTTGAAAAAAGTGACTTCATAGATACATGACGTTGGATGATATAAGATACTTTGTAGATACGTAATGTTGAATGGAATAAGATACTTAGTAGATACATAGAGCTGGATGAAATAAATACTGTCTGCAGGTGCAGAAACAATGAAAAAAAAATACCTTTATAGCCGAGTTCCACTGTGCCAAAATGAAATACAACAACATGAAGTTTCGAAAGGACGTAAAAAATATGAACGTTAAAATATAAACCGTTGAAACAACGTTCTCAAAATCATCTGTTCGTCAATTTTTCAATACATATTCATCCATTAATTCTAATTAATTAATTCTTACAATCAAATTAATTAATTCCTACAATCTTTTCACCAATTCGTTAATTATAGTGCAATCGATCCGTCAAATGGTAGAAGGCGAACGAAATGCGAGTAGGTAGTCGGATGAATAGAAATACAACGTAATAAACAAGATGCACCGGTGAATGGTGCATTTATATTAGGGACAGCAATCGTCTTCATCATCATCATCATCACCCTCCTCCTCATCATCATCTTCCTACTATTCATCTTCACGCATCATTGCTCACTGCACTACCGACGTGCAGCTAGAATGAACGAGGGAGTGAACGAATGAAGGAGTGAATGAACGAATGAAGGAGTGAATGAATGAATGAAGGAGTGAATGAATGAAGGAGTGGATGAAACGTAGAAGTGAATGAATGAAAGAGTGAATGAATAAAGGAGTGAATGAATGAAAGAGTGAATGAATGAAGGAGTGAATGAATGAAAAAACGATGGACCGAAAATAAATGAATGCATACAACATATGTATGAATGTATGAAAAAAACGAATTACCGAAAATAAATGAACGTATACTCTATATATATATATATATATATATATATATATATATATATATATATATATATATATATATATATATTTTCTATAACTAAAATCTTCTTAATCCTCATTCATTAACAGCAACCATTCCCGTTAGGGAATTGTTGCTGTTAATGAACCGTTACAACCGTTAGGGATTGTACCAGTCTAAAAATAGAATCGAGAAAGCAAAGACGATTAATATGAACATGATCCAGACTCGAAAGCCGGCGTTGTTCTTCATGGCCTGGTGGTTTTATAATATTATTATTACTATAATTATAGTATTACTATAATTAAAGTTATAATAATATTATTATAATTATAGTTATAATAATAATAATAGATGATAACGTTGACGATGATTAGAAGAATGAACATATGCGAGAAGATTAACTCAAATTCAAATCAATCACTTCTCTTATCAATTCATTGCCTTCTTTCAGATTTTCATTCGAGCCTAATATATTATCGGCAAGTTTCTGTACACTGACATCCTTGGTTGTAAATGGAAGATAGATGGATATTCAGTCAATCTTTCGTTCATTCATTCATTCATTTGCTCATTTAATTGTTCATTATTTCATTCATCCATTCATCAAATTACCAATCCATCCATTTATCCACTGGAAAAAAATCACCTGCTGCAAAATGTTTTCAGAAAAAACTCGCTGCAGTTTGGATATTTCAATCATATCACCTTCGACTCGTCTGGTGAACATTATTATTATTTTATTATTATTGTTGTTATTATTGTTATTGTGATGATGACGATTATTACGGTAGTCAATAGATAGATAGAAGTAGTGCATACCATTATAAAATGATTTATTGATAGATTAATCGATTGATTGATTGATTGATTGATTGATTGAATGAGTGAGTAAGTGAGTGAGTGATCGTTTAGTAAGATATCAATGATTGGTTGATTGATTGACCGACTGATTGATTGACAGCCGGAGATGACACCCACTTTATCTCTTCAATGATTGAACTCTTTTCAGCGTACAAAATGTCATTCTCCTTTTGTAACTGAATAAATGAATAATAATGGATGAATAAATGATTGAATAAATGAATATACGAATAAATGAATGAGTGAATGAACGAACGAACGAATGAATGAACGAATGCATGAACGAATGAATTAACAAACAAATAAACGACCAAATGAACTAGTGATAGAATAAAATAAAACAAATGATAATCAGCATTCAATAAATATTTGTTAAATAAATCAACCAACCAGCCAGTCAACCAACCGACCAGCCAGCCGACCAGCCAACCAACCAGCCAGTCAACCAACCAACCATCATTTTTTCTTCATAACTCATAGAATCGTCATCCTCATCGTCCTCGTCGTCATCAACATTTTTAGGAGAAGAAATTTTCGGTGATGATGATGATGATGACGGTGGTGGCGATGATGATAATGATGGCGACTTTTTATCATCATCAATATCAGGAGAGGAGTTTTTGACTTTTTTGTCATTGGGGGGAACTTGCAACTTTATTGTAGCTGGTTCCGTCTGCAGCCTGGATCTTAACAACGATGACGATCAATAATAAAGATAGTTAACAACAACAAAGAACAATATGATATAATGAAAAAGGCTTTCATTACATTTTTTTTCTATGTATGGTCCTCTTTACTCGCAGTGCTTTCTGCTCACTATACAACCTACAAACAGCTGTCAATCAATCAATCAATCAATCAATCAATATATCAATATATCAATCAATTCATTAATCAGTCAGTCAGTCAATAAATCAATTGGTCAGTCAATCAGCCAGCCAGCCATTCAGTCAACCAACCAATTATTCATGAAATCAATTAATCAATCAATTAACCAATCAATCAATCGACCAACCAACCAACCAACCAAATAAATACTGTTCAATCAGAATGAGTACATGATCTATATGCTCTCTTGTTTGTCTTAGCACTTTATTCGCATTGGCTGTTGTGAAATTTGCGATGATTGGTTGGTTCATTTGATGACAGATAATTGGTTGACTGGTTGGTTGACTAGCTAATTAACTGGTTGATTGACTAATAAAAATAACAACACAACTAAACGACAACCTTGAACTTTCAATTGATTTATAGCATCTTGTGACATCTTCATAAAGGCTTCAGCTTCAGCATCAATTCGATCTCTATCGATATTTGTCATTTGTCTTGAAGATGGTGATGTTGTTGTCCCCAGAGAAAAAAAACTAAGTGAGAAAATAGGAGAAAAAAATAGGAATGGAGAGAATGATTCAAATAAAAATATAAGTAGCTAAAACACACTCTACATTATTATCTTACGTTTAAAAATAATTTAAAAAAAGTTTATATCACTCCTATTTTAGATATATATATATAATATAATGATACTTTTATTATTTAATAAATAAATATATATACTCACTCAGAGGCACTGATGTAATCTTTTCTATTCTCAAGTAAGAAGTTTTTCAGTTTTGTTATTAGCAAGACCTTTTGAAATAATAATATAAAAAATATTTATATAGTAGAAGTATGTGTAAAATAAGATTTTTAGTTTTGGAAAAGTGATATGCTTCCTAATTATAATTTATATTATAATATGTGTAGTATTCACCATATAAAAATGGTAGGTTAGATTTTGTTAAAAAACTAGTTAATTATCATGTTAGTTAAATAAATTGACTGAAACTTGACTGACTGACTGAATAAAATAAACAAAGCCAATCCTTAATCATAGTTTCGAAAACATTTAGTTAGAATTTTAAAATTTAAATTTTAAAAAGTTTAACTTTAATTAAAAACTTTAAGTTTAAGAAACTATTAATTATAAAATAACTTTAATTAAAAACTTTAAGTTTAAGAAACTATTAATTATAAAATAAAAAACTTTTTTAAGTTAACTTTTCAGATAATTTATACTTTACCTTAAGAGACAAAACGTAATATATCACTCACTACGTTCTTAGCCGTAACAGCAAATTCACTTTTCCTAATATTAATGTTAGATTTTGGCAAAATAGCCTTGTCAGTAGCAGAAGATGAGAATGAGGATGATTGAAGATTTTTTTCTCTTATTTTCACGGTTTTAATTGTCGCTTTAAATAAATTTGTTATATCAGACATTTTTTAAACTATAATTTCAATTAAAAATTTTATTACTAATGTTTTTAAATAGATTTTTTTAAATTTAAAATGACAAAACGTAGCGCAATGAGCGATATTAAAAACAAACTGCATAGAAATCGGATTTTAAATAAAACGATGATACTTTTTGACAAAACTAACCAACTTTTTTATCTACCGTAAACCCGTTTCAATTGAACCACTGAAACGAATAACTTCAACATCAAAATGAACGAAATTTAATTAAAAAATCGTTCATCATCATACACTAAACTATATGCTTAAAATAAGCAAGAAAAATGCAAATTTTAAACACATAAATTAAACTTTCAAGATTTCAATTTCTCATTAAACTAAATAAACAAACATTATTAAATGGATATTTAAACCCATGGATATATAAAAACCATGTATAAACCACGTAAATATCAACTAGACAATTTATATGACGAAACATGTCTATATAATAAAACATTAATTAATCAACTAACCAATCAATCAATTGACATCGAGGCAGCCCATTCAAACAAACCATAAAAATATTAATACTATCTAGTAAAAGCCAAATTCTGTCTTCATAACTCGGCAAATAATAAGAATAATAATAACAAACATAATAGTAATCATAAAAAATTGTTGAACAACAATCATATTATCAACAGGATAAAAATGAAAATAAGAATAATAATAATTAAAAGTGAATCAATCAAATTCACTGTTTAATTACATTGTCTATACATTATTTACAAGGTTTATATATATATATATATATATATATATATATATATATATATATATATATATATATATGACATGAAACAGGACTATTGATTCATGCAAACAAATAACTTAAAAATGGATGTATATGCTTACCACCACCACCATCATCATCATCACCATCATCATCATAATCATCATCATTTATACATTTATTATTATCATTACTACTACCATGATTATTGTTATTATTATTATTTACGGTATCATATTGTATAGCAGGTAATTCCATCTATCATAAATAATGGCTTCATCAAACTTATCCTACTATAAAATGTAGCAGTTGCGTGTATATATAAACCTTTCATAGCATCATATACATATATATATATATACTCCAAAATATAGGCCCCATACTAATTACAAGGTAGGTGCGGTCGGCATAGTTTACCTAACAATAGGATTAGAACTCCAATCTTGTATCTGTGTGGCTTGCGTGTATTTCTGCGATGTTGCTCTGTTGAAAACTGGCAGGACCTCATAGGCCTCTGCTGGATTTGACTGTTGGGTATGTACGCACGTAAGCGTTTTGTTTGTGTGCTTTGTTTATATGCACATATTATACCAATAAACTAACAAACCAACAACTTAATCACAAGCCAGCCAGCCAGCCAAACATCAACCAACCAGCCAATCAACCAATCAGCCAGCCAACCAGCCCGCCAACCAACCTTCAGACAAATCGTAGCATCAGAGCCGTAGCCGTCGACCGAGAACAGCGACAGATTACCGCCGAAATAGCGTGCGTAAATTTTCGAAAGAGGCAATCCATAACCGTAGCCCGCAAGTGGCGTCTGACCTTCGCAGTCGGGCCTGGGGGCTGTCGAGTACATGTAGTTGAAGAGACGCTTCAACTGACTACGCTTTATACCACCCCCTCTGTCGGAAATCTGCGTCAAAAATTAGGTCCAGAAATGAAGTTAGATCATAAAGGCCAAAGGTTAATTATGTTTCTAAAATTTTGAAATTATTTACTCTGATAGTGACATCCTGTGACCCTTTGCTTATAAGGACTTTGACTTTTGGAAGTTGACCTTCACCTTTGCCCCCGTGACATTCAACAACCGCTCTCAAGGAATTCTGAATGTATGGACGCGTGTATGTATGTATGAATGAATGTATGAATGAATGTGTGTGTGGTGTGTATGGTGTAAATAAATAAATAAATAAATAAATAAATAAATAAATAAGCGTGTGTGTGTTTGTGTGTATGGTGTATGCATGTTCGTATGGATTCTTACATACGCGTGTGTGTGCTGGGGTGTGGATTTGCATGCTGCTTGCTACTGTTAAATCAAATATTCTCGAACAAACGTTAAGAAGCAGACTTTGATAATTTCGAAGATCATGTGATAGAGGTGAGAAGGTATGTAGGACATGTACACATCGTCAACCAACAAGCCCTTCGTCGTCTCTACATGAAACATGGTGACGATGGTGATCATGAAGGAATGCATGTATGAATGAATGCATGTATGGATGAATGAATGAATGAACGAATGAATGAATGAAAAAACAAATAAATGAATCAAACCATCGCTGCATATAAACTCGCAATCTGGGCAATCAGAGTAGTACTGCTCGCATAGGAATCTTGCATTATCAAATGCATCTGAAGGTGAAAATAATAAAAATAATAATATAAATTAATAAAAATAATAACAATATCCGAAACAAATAATAATAAGCAAAAACAACAATTTTTTTATAAAAAATCTTAAATGCTAACGACACCCAAGACTCAAATTAACGAGATGTTAATTTTCGCCTATGGGACGACAAATATGTTAATGAGATGTTAATTTATGCCAGTGAAATGTTAATTTATGCCAGTGAAATGTTAATTTATGCCAATGAAATGTTAATTTATGCCAATGGGATGTTAATTTATGCTAATTGGATACTTATGGCACCTTCAGCCACGGACTTGACGCCGCATTTCAGTTGGATCTCGCCTACGTAGCCGTCAATGGTTATCTTCTTCTTCTTTGAAAAGATGCCCACTGCAGGTGGAAACAGAGAAAAAAATATACTAATACCCTTCAGTATAATCATTTATAACTTTAAAAAATTTATAAACAGATTAAGTAAAAACTTGAAGCTCACAATGTTGCCCGAGAATTGTATTCAGTCCAATCCGACTCATGTAGAACCTATCTAGGAAGTATTGTATGCGCGCGTCGACCGGTGAAGAGACATCCCTAACTTCAGAATTCTTCATGCGTTTGCTGGCGCTGTTGGAGCTGATGTTGTTGTTGTCGTTGTCTGAATCGCTGTCGCTACTATCAAGATCCTCCTCTTGCTGCTGTTGTTGTTGTTGTAGAAGTTTGTTGTTGTTGTGTTGTTGTTGGGCTTTGAGTTCGAGGATCCCCTCTGCCATTGTCTCTACGACCGTCGTGTGCCGGTTGCGTATAAAATCCAAGCCATCGTTTATTCTGAAATTGTGTGCGTGTTTGTATGTATGTATGTATGTATGTATGTATGTATGTATGCATGTGTGTATGCATGTATGTATGTATGTGTGTATGTATGTATGTATGTGTGTATGTAT